TAATACTTATTTAGATTTATATATTTCTAATAATAATATGGGGATATGCTCTCAAAAAATAATTAAAAACTTCGAGTAATTCAAAAAACTATTAGAGTGGAATTAGTTTTATAAATATGTATACTTTTAAAAAATAAGATACATTTTTTTTGAACTTTTTGAAGCTTAGTTTTGTTTTAAAAAATACTCTTATTTAGTTAACAATTACTATTTAAATAAACTTATTCCATTTCCTGTTCAACTTCTGGCTAATAAATTGCCTGTAACCTGTCGATGGCTTCATTCTCCAATTTCTTGTCAACTAAGTCGTCAAGCAGGGCAATTGTCCTTGATGACCTGCTTAACACGATTCAGCTTCAGGTCCTGTTGAAGCTTTTCCAAGGAATTTTCATTCATTTTCTGTTCGCTTTTTGGCTGTCAAGTCGCCCTCTTATTTACATTCAATTGGCAAACGACGCTTAATAGAAGGACGTGAGCGTTGGCGTGCTGCCACTATCTTCACTTCCATTTTATTGTCCTTTTTCCATTCGTTTTTTTTTTTGTTTTTTATATCCTCTCGTCTTTGGTGATTTAATGAAATGATAGCGTCGAAGGAGTGTAGTTAGAAAGGGCAACGAAATTATTGCGTTGGTGGAGATTTTGAGGGATTTTACACTGTAATTGTTTTCAATAAGTTTGTTTAAATATTAAGAATGGTTTACTTGTAAGGATACTGTCTCGAAAAATCATAATTTACAATTTTCTCCATTAAACTTTTTGAATGTTGTTTATTCCCTAGGGATTCTACCTTTTTAAAAGGGTAATAAAATATATATTTTATTTGTAGTTTTTACTATTTATCTGTCTTAGGTCTTATAATTTCCAGAAAAGTTTCTTGGTAATAATATTTCACTGTTCTATTATTTATAGTTCCAATTTCTAGCAGTATCTTTGAAATTTTTCGCTTTGACAATCAATTTAGCACTTTGAAATGATATCCTTTCCATGACCTCTCCTTCCTTGGGGTGTCCTGCACATTTCTTATCCTTCGGTCTAGTTGATTGTTTCCTCCTCCATACAGCATACTCGATGCTCCTCTCCAGAACAATGTCATCTTGTTTAGTGCCTTTTGTGTTCGTGCTTATTTCGCTCCACATTTTTCTTCTCGCTTTCGGCTTTCGCTTTCATTTTCATTTTGTGTTAATTACCAATTTAAATGCAAACTTTGGACTGATGAAGATGGATGTGACACTGGCGAACAAAAGGATCGCTCGTCAACGTGTCCTGTCTTATTTGCCGCACAGTCCTTTCTGTGCCATTGTTTTGCCGCAGAAAGTTGTCAAGAGTTTTTTTTCAAGGTCCTTGCATAAATTGTTGAGGGTTTTTTTTTGGGAGAAAAACTCTTGGTCAGTGATACTTGGGTTGGTTAAGTCTTCGAATTAATTATGTCACTTTTTATGGTAATTTAAAAAGTTTCGAGAAGGACAAGTACAAGTTTAGAGGGTCTAAATGGGAATTTTCTTAGTTGGATTTTCCTGAAAGCTTTAATTAATTAATGATTTAATTTATGTATTCAAGGTTTTTTATAATTTAATTTAATAACGTATATTACAAAGTTGAACTTAGAAGGTATATCATGACCCTAAATATAGTTTTATGAGATTGAAGAAGGTAATGTCGTTGTTATGGGATTTTAATTATATTTGAAACATGGATTTATATATTATTATAACTATTTTTCTTTCTAAAACGTTATTTTTAAGTCTTAGACAAGTTTCTAAAGTAATTTTAATCTTAGACAAGTTTCTAAAGTAGTTTAAAGTTAGAGTAGCTTAAGACAAAGTCTTTGGGGTATAAAATCCTGAAATATATGGTTTTTTTGTATCCTAAAATCCCTTTTCATAACCCCAAATGAAAGTTCCATCATAACTAAAGACCTCCACCAAATTGATTTAAATTGTTGGCTTCAGTTTTCAATCAATTTTCAACTGACCAACTGTCCACTCCGTGCCGGCCATCAATCAATCACGACTCTTGCCCGAAGTCGGCACTTAGTGCTATACAGTGCAGCTTGTACAGTGCAGTACATAAACAAAGGAACGTGCAGTGGCACACATAAATAACCCCATTACAAACCTAATTACAATCAATAACAATTTTATTGCCTGGCAAAAGCGACAAAAGCGAAAGAATGTCAGAACACTGGCAGCAACGATATCGATCTTACTTGTTGACATGAACCAATTACAAAGCAACAAAATGCACCGCCTGCCGTCTGCAGCCAAAGAAAATTTATATAGAAAACTTGATAATTGAAAGGAAAACTGAAAACTCTTGCAGAAGGGGAGGGGAGGAGAGGACCATAAGGCGCCCACGCCAAAGCAAACAGCACGAGCGAAAACTGGTTGACAAAATAAACTGCAGGCTCTAGGAAAATCCGCCCACTGCCAACTAAGTTGTAACTACTATTAAAAAAAAGGAGGGAAAATAAAATAATACAAAAAATATATAGGAAGCACTTCCTTCTCTGGGAACACAGCTTAAGGGGTGTTGCTCTATGTGCTCTGTAATTAATTATTTGATAAAAGTACAAGGCATTAAGTCAATTAAAGCTAAATTTATGCCAAACCTTATCTGATTCTGACAAAAGGCGTGATTTATACTATAAAAGCTAAAACGAGTTATTAGAGCCCAGTTTATCTCAGCTTTTAAACTAGTTTTAGTGGCTATTAACTGTAGTTTAGGTTCTGTGTTTGAAGATAATGGGAAATATGTTCTTTTTAACTTGATGGAAGGGCTGTTAAATTCTCGTTAAACAAATATATTTGTTATTAAAATTAAGTTTTATTTGAAATAAATAATATATAAAGTACAAATATTTCAAAATTAATGGAGTATCCATATTTGATTAAATTAAAATATATGTTTGTCTTGGATAAATAAAAAATAAGAGACGCACAAGCATTTCTTTGGGAAGCCTAGAAATCCTTACCAAAATTGCTCTCTTTTAATAAATTAAAACCAAAATAAAGCCGTAACTAATAGATTTCCCAGCCAACCATTATTTAATTTGCATGCTTGTACAAATCATTTATGCATTTCCCTCCACAAATAAAAAAAAAGAAACCATAACAAAATTGCCGGGCAATCAATCAGCGAAAAAAGCAAAGCAAACGCAAAACCAGGATCCGCCAATTTAAACGCTCATTAAAGGAGAACGAAGGACGATATCCAAGGGGGTGGCAAGCAGCAGGAGCTAGGGGCTGGGAAATGTCCAAAATGGGAACTACGACAAGCGCACAATTTGCTAATGTTGACGCCATTATTGTATAATTTTCGTTAAATGGGCGGGGCAGTCGGCGGTCGGTCATTTGTATAGCAAACCGCAAATGTCGCCACCGCTGCTGGGGTTTCCTAGCCGCTTTTCATGATTTTTTTTCCACCGACCATTTGCTTTCTTTTTTGACAGTTTCCGCGTCATTTTTCTACGGCATTTTGCACCGGGAAAAATATAGTTAATAGTTTTAGCTTTACGAATTGAAATGAATGCATTTTTGGCTTAGTTATGATAATTAAAAAACTGTGTTTTAACAAATAAAAAAAGATATAAATATATTATTTTAAAGCCCCTATGATGGACATTTTTTCAATCTTCTTGCTAAAGTAGTCATTTCCGACCCTATAAATCATATATATTCTTGATCAGCATGAACAGCCGAATCGATCTAGCCATCTCCGACTGAAAACTTTTTTTTTAACTTTTTCAACATTTTTTTTGCCCAATTTTTCATTATTAAAATATTCAAAAATTGACAAAAATTGGAATTCATTGTAACTTTAAATTTAATACGCAGATTTATTAATCTAATTATAACTAACACAGGACAGCTTTCCGAATTAAAATTAATGCATTTTTGGCTTAGTTATGAATTTCTTAAACTTTGATCTGTCGAACAAATTGTCATATAAAAATATTGTTAAATATTAATTAAAAAGATTCGCAAGATTCTGTAAGACTTTTATATTTTTTAAAAGATTTTTAAAGAGAATTATATTTTAAATGTGAACCTTAGTCGGGAACTTAGAAGTATAGAACGCTTTTATAATATATTAAAGAGCCTACTAAAAATTAAAATAAAAAATGCTTTTGGAATCCCACAAAATATGAAACATTTCTCAGTGTAACTCAAAAAGTCTAGTGCCATTTTTGGAGGTGCAAGCCCAGACTTCGTCATTATTTCGGCATTATGTGTGACTTTGAGAAGGAGGGGGAGTACGGGGAGTATGGGGAGCGGATGGAGCTACCAAGTTTTGGTTGCTCGCAAACATTCGTAAATGTCATTAACAGTTGTAACGGCTTCAGACCACGCCCACAAACACCCAGAACTCCCCCAGAACTTTATGCGGTACGTCCGGCGAACTGAAAAAAATAAAATAGAATCGGGAAACGGTGGAGCGGTGAAGCGGGTATTTTTACACAAAATTACTTCTTTTATTCGGTGGCCTGACATCCATCATCATCATCAACGGGCACAGTTTTCCCGTGGAAAAGCCCTGAAATATGCGACATCATATTTCTAGTATTCAGATTCGACTTGAAATCAACTTTGGGGGTGTGCTCTGACCTTAAAGTCTGGCAAGTTCTAAGCGAAAATCGATTCTTGAGATTATCTAGACTCTAGATTTAAGCGACTTGGTTAAATGAATAATAATTTAGTTATGAATATTTATGGGGCTTTACCTGAACGGGTTTTTGTATTTCTTAGTTATTTTCAGAGCTTGCAACAGGCTGAAATATGGTCTGGTCTGCAATGTACCAGCAAAAATATTAGTACTAGAAAAGCAATTCATTTCCTGACATAGCTAGATCGAGTCGGCTGTTGATGCTGATTTCGAATATATATGATTTATAGGGTCGAAAATGACGCCTTCACAGCGTAAGAAGTTTCCGACTTAAATTTTAATACCCTTAAAAGAGTATAAAAAAGTTTGTATGTGTTCTATTTGTTTATTTAGTAAAGTTCATTTAAAAAAGTTTATTTTTAAGTGGTTTACAAATATCAAATAAGAGCCGATTTTAAATATGATGTATTATAATATCCAATGGAATATTATTTTGGCCTTGGTGGCGGAATATTTGTATAAGCACTCCTATAATTTACGTCATCAAACTGAAATATATATCATATAGGATTAATATTAATATTAAATGGAAATATTACTTGATTAAAGTAACTTACAGTATCATATGGGAGCAACTCTTCACAAGAGTTTTTAAAGCATTTAATAGGTAGTGCTCTAGCAAAATGCCAAAGAGTGCATAATAATAATAGCCATGAAATATTCATCCTGATTTATAAGAAGCTGTTCGACAACTGATGGAAATATAATATTCCATTCATAATATTTTTAATTGTATTTAAATAGCGGAAAGTTTTCACTTAGGACAGAAATATTTGAGCAAGTTAACGTGACAAATGGAATTAGTTTGGCTTAATGCCATATTTACAGCATATAAGATTTAAACCCCAAATAATAACTCCATCTACTTTGCGTTTCTTTTAAGCATAGAAACTAAAGATTTATTTCTGTATATATATATATAAGTTTTGTCGTGTGTACAAATTAATCCCTATATGCATACGCATAAAGATTTATAAAGTAATGAATATTTCTGTAAAGTGTCTAGATCTTAAGCGCATAAGTTCGTACAGCTAGATGGTGTTTGGGTAAGGGATCTTTAACTTTTAACTAAGCTTAACTAAGCTTATGAAAGAGTGAAGTGTCTCTTATAAAAAATGATCGTCGGCGAAAGTAAAATCAAATTTTGTACTAATTCAATGTGGGTATGGTTAATGAAATCTGATGGTCTGAACATAAAGACGTATTTCTATATACAAATTCGAAACATAAAAGATATAAACAAAATAAAACTGAAAATAAAAATGGCCACAAAAGGTGGTTGCTCCATCTCAATAGATCCTGGGCAGAATGTAGTTGCGCACCTGTGTGCTATAGCGTTGCCACGACGAGTGATAGCGCGCCTGATTCCTGGCATTCGCACGCGTGGCGCGATGCAGCAGCAGCAGGACAATTAATGAAAGTCCCAATACAGGCGGCCAAGCAGGACGCAGGGCCATGGGAGCGGCGAGAGCGAGCAGGGCCACAATGTCACCCAGATAATTGGGCTGTCGCACCCAACCCCACATGCCGCTCAACAGCAGACGGCTGCCCTGGTACGTGTGAATCGTCTCGATGTTGGCAAAGATCGGGCTCTGCGCGTTCAGTCGGTATTTGTACTTGTAGGCGCAGCTGTAGCGCTTCACCAGCAATCCCAGGCACAGGAGAGCCCCGACACCGATCGGAGCATAGCAGCAGGAGATGGGCACGCGCTGCTCATAGAAGTACTTGGTCACAGCGGTCAGCAGGTACGGAGTGGCGGCATAGCGCAGGAGCAGCAGACAGCCATAGCCCTCATGCTGCAGCTCAAAGGACGAACTCAAGTGATGCTCAAAGACGATGGCGTCCAGGACGTACAAGAGCAGGCAGCTGGCCGAGAGCAAAGTGCCCGCATCGTAGTTGACATTGCTCCAGTAATACTTGGCCACATAAAGATAGACATTGCCCTCCTGTTCGGCCAGCTGCGGTTTCTGGGGCCACACCAGCGTCTGGTAGATATAGCAGGCGGCATACAGCAGTGTGCTCACCAGGGAGAGGCGATAGTAGAACTGCTTCCAATCCACACGTCCCAGCCACTTGGGATTCAGCTGCCTGCCCAGTGCAAAGTCCACCACAAAGCTCCCGCTCCTGCCATAATCATTGGTCAGTGTCTGACGGAGCACATTGTACTTGGCGGTATCCACGAGCCAATAGCTCCAGGCAGCGGCCACAAAGGCGCCGACCAGTCCATAAATGCAGAAGCGTAGATAGTGACGCAGCACAAAAGTCACAACCGGATACTTGAGAAACTCGGCGATGCCGCCTGCAATCAGGAAAGCAGCTGCCACTCCCAGCGAGTTGAACTTGTAGGTCTCCCGGGTGAGATGCACACGGCGTCCGGGCAGCAGGGCCACCAGCAGAAAGGCCACCACATGGTACGCGGCAAAGGCTGCCACCACACGTGGCTGAAACACTTGACGCGTCAGATAGTTCACATCCAGCACAATACTCGGATTAAGATGCTTCAGTTGACAGGCATTTCTGGCCGTACAGCTCCAGGTGAGATAGTACACAGTAATGGGCACCAGCAGCAGCAAGAGGAAGGCACCCAGCCAGCCGCCAAATTCTTGGGGAGCCTTTAACTGACGACATGAAATTTCCGCTGGCGTGGCCGATTTTCTAGTGGCATTGAAACTGCGGAACTCCTCTTCCTCCTCCAGCTCCTCTTCCTCGATATCCTCTTCGCCTGTCGAGTAGCTCCTCTTGGAGGATTTCTCATCATCATACACCGATCTAGACACACTACGACTGTAGCGACTGCCACCATCCTCCGTATTGGTCACTGGCGTTCCAGCCAAATTTGAGATGGTCTTCGACACCGATCGCCGGAGTCGCTCTGTGATGCGTTTGCGCAAGGAGTCTATATCCACTTCGCTATCGCCCTCGGCACGAATCTCGATGCGCTCCGAGGATGTGGTGGTAGTTATGGTCGAGCTGCTGCTTATGTAATTCCCACTGTTGAGGGAGCTTGTGTTGAATGACTTGTTCGGGGCCCTGCTGGCTGTGTTGGTGGTCAGTGTTATTGGCAGACTGCTGTTTGTGGACTGACGCACGGGCGAAGGCACCTAAGAAGAATAGAAGATTAGTTGAGAGATTCTATAAGGTACGGGGATTTGATATCTGTGATTGCAGGGTTTTCTATGAGACGATTGCTTCTTAATCTTTAACCAATCAACCAAAAGACCAAGTTCTGTACGCATTTTTACTTCTAAAGGCTTGTAAACACTGTAATCGCCAGATAAGCTGCTCCCTTGAGACCCCAAGCCCTTGGAACTGATAAGAGAAATGCCCCCAACTCCCTTAAACGAATTCCGGTTAAAAACTCACCTCTGGCACCTCGCGTATGGGCGTGCGAACCTTAATAGAGGTCTTGACGGGAAGCGAGGAGGCGGTTACTGGACCCACCGATTGCCTGGGACGGCTGGAGCGTCGAGTGCGTGGACCCAGGTCCGGTGAAGGCGGTGCCTTGTTGCGCGATGGCGAGGCACGTGTCCGGCTGGCTGGTCCAGCTGCTGCGGCAGCTGCTGCTGTGAGAGAAGCCGTACGGCGAGTTCCTGGCAACAGGCTGGGCTGTGCAGACTGCAAGAGGGGAGCTGCAGCGGCTCCAGCACCTTCGTCCGCACGACGCGGGCGTCTCAGGCGTCGATCCATGGCGATATATGATTAGGGATTTTCTTTAACGCTCTAGAAACAGTTAGCTGGAAGTGAATTACAATTTACATTAGTATTAATTTAACAGAAACAAGATTGGTCTATACATTAATATTTTCCCGCCTAAAGGACCCTTCTCCTTGCCACCTAAAAAAACGTGTTTCCCTTTTAAATTATGACATGCATTTACTTATATTTCTTTTTAAATGCTGTACCGGCACGTTCTATATTTTATTTATAGCCGCAAACGCACACACAAAGCATAAAAGTTATTTTAGTTTTTCTGTATTTTATTTTTGTGTTTGCGCGCCGAAAAGGAAAAGCGACGTCGCTGCCGCAACTGTACATTCTGCAGGCAGCGACGCTGGCAGAGCCCTCCCCCTACCAACACAGTGGGACTCCTGTGTTGCGCTTGCTGTTTGCATTTTATACACTCGCCGCTTAACTTTTAAGATTAACAAACTTTAAAACTTACTTTTGGTTAAGGTTTTTAACAATCTTTCGCTCGCTGGCGGCGTCTAAATGTTGTAAATTCAGGAAAAATCACTTGATAAAAAAGACGCGCGTCTGCTGTCGGCTAGAGCTGGTCACGATATATATTGATACAAGAGGTGGCAAAACTAAACCAAATATCGATATTAGTATAACGTAACTAAACCACGTAAGGAGATCAAGAACTCACTGCTCTGCAGTAGGCAAGTGTAATGGATTTTGTAATAAAGTATAAAAATATATATTTTGTAATATTTAAATACCAGTTTTATAAAATACTTGTTGGAATTAAGAGAAGCGGCACTGTGACATCAGAAAACTTTACGGAATGGTGTTGTGGGTGGTCAACTCTGATTAAAAGGTGCGAAACACTGCTAATTAAAAGAGTGACCATACATCATCTTTGCCTCAGACGCCGTTCTTTATCTGTATTTCGCCAGTGCTGCCCATCGGTCACACTGCATCCTCACACATAACAAAAGGCAGGGCGAAAAAATTGTAAATTTATACGGATTTCCCCCCTATTTCCGGACATTTTCCTGTCAATCGAGAGAGCACTGTGAGTATAATTCATACCACACACACACAACACACTAAAATGCGTTGCGAGCTAAATTCTGGTAATTAATTTGTAATGAAAACGTCTCTCTCACCGCCGACTCCTCTCTTCGCCAAAAATAAAACTGAAACAACCGAAGGTGAAGCACAAGGGGAAGCGAATAACGCCGATTGCAAAGGAATTAGGCAAAAGGAACAGAGAAAGAGGAGACTCCATCATGGCAACGCCGCAGTCGCCCATGTTCAATGGTCTGGACGATGATCTCTACACGGAGGCCAAGTTTGCCCACGAAATGAACGACAAGATGCGCGTCCCCAAGCGCATTAAGGCCACGGGGGAGTACTCTGACGAGGATCTGCTGCTGTCCAACCAGACTGGGCTCATAAGCTCTTGGAATTACCACGACAAGATCGACATGAATGTCCCCGATCGGATCGTGGTCCTCGGACACAATCAGCACTTGGAGACGCGTTCGGCACCGCGTGAGATCCAGCTGGAGAACTCCATACTGCCCAAGAACCCGTCTATGGGTCTGGTCCGCGTCCAGACGCCACCGCGTATTATTACCCTGACGGATCATCACTTTCCCTCGGCCTCCGAGGAGAGCTCCCCCATACGGGCGAACGGACACCATGTGTACGGTGAGGATCTGGGGGATGAGGATGATGACGACGAGGCGGGACACCCGGCCACACAGTATGTGCGGGCCAATGGAACAGCACGCATGGGCTTCCATGCCAACGATACGCACTCGGTGGAGTCGGATTCGCAGGTGAGATTTAAGTTGCTGTTACAGATTTGACTCGGCTCTCTCTAGGAAACTGCAACGAGCGTGTTGTCTAGGGTTTAGAATGCTAGTTACCTATGGTATTAGGTTGATGGAAAGCTCAATTGAACGTCTATTTTACTATAAAGTGTAATAAGACCGAATATGTGTTGTATAAGGCTCTTTTGTTCCTCTAAATCGATAAACTAGCCCATTTCCTTTGCACTTAACTACTTATTCGATTAAAGTTAGTTTAAAATTGTTATTCATACCTATAGGTTTCCTTTTTTGTAATTTTTTATGGTTTAACTCAGGCTGTAGCCCAAATTTTACAATGATAAAGAAACAGTACAGTATATCCATTAGTCATTGACCTTCTTTGGTTGTCATTAACGCGAAATTCAATTTGCATAAATTTTTAGACTTTCTTTGCACATTTTCCTATAGATAACAGCTAAGTTTGGGTATAAAGAAGGAATAAAACATACTTTATAGTATTTGATAGTAACCCCTATTTAGTTCATTGCTATTATTGCATTAATTTCCCATTTTCTTTTTCATTTTCGCAATTGCCTCGCCACTATTTCACCCACCTTCGCTGTATTACCCATGATATGATGAAACGTAATCGGTGGAAATGGTAATAACGATCAGGTTTCCCTTGCCACCCATTGAATCGCTCGAGAGATTAACCAACTGCTGTGTTTATTGATGTCTAGTACTGCTTTTACCAGCGATAAGGCCAGTGACTGACCTGATTTCAAGGGGCTTATGAGGAATTCTACTCTCACTCACTCCTACCCTCACTAGTCACTCGAGTAGCCGTGCCTTTCAGGGCGATCCTCACCCTCCTGCAAATCCTTTGGCCTCTTGGCAAATGCCCGACACTTCCAAATGTCCACCTCGGTGGCCAGACATTTGCGGAAATCAAAATCGCAGAGGCCTAAGCTATACGATGAACCCTCCTGTACAGGCTCAAAGTAATGCAGGCCCCTGTTTATCTTGATCAACACACCGGAACTGAGCACAATCTTGCGATCGTGAAGGGTGTCGTCCAATTGATAGTTCATGTGGATGTTGCCTGCGGCCAGATCGTTCTTCATTTGCTGCAGGATCTGTAGTTGTTTTTGCGGCACTACCACATCCGAACGTGTAGTCACCCGGATATACTTGAGATAGCGACAATTCTTCACCAGAATCTCAAAGAAATTGATCAGATTGCGAAAGTGTTGCGGCTCCGTGAGATTTGGTTCATTGAGATGCGCCTCCCGGACGCTATCGTCGAGATACGGACCCAGCAGCCGCTGGTAGCTCTTGCCCCTGGCACCCCGCTCGATGCTGACGTGATCCAGCATTCGACTCGCGTGCAGGTGACTCTTCACCTGATCCCTCAGCTGCTTGGCCCGCGCCTCGTACATCTTGAGATATTTGCCGCATAATTGCCTTCGACTGGGATCCGCCTCGGCCATTTCCTTTAGCTTGAAGGTGCTCTCCTCGTAGAGAAGAATCGCCTCCATGATGTGGCCCGTCTGTTCGCACTTCAGGGCACTGATTATGGGCTCGAGCTTGGACAGCTCATCCCCATCGACATCGACATCGGCAAAGCCCAAGGGTGAACGATTACTGGCGGTTGTCATTATTTGAACTGCAAAATTTTGTTGGGAGTTTTCCGATACGAAAATGTTGTATATGTTGTAATTCTATTTGAAATTTTGCTTTTGATTGGGAAAACCAATTTGACACAAAGGGAAAAGGGGAAAAGTTTTTGATTTTCGTAATAAATATAAATAATTGCACCTAAAAATGGTAAATAAAACATATATTTTATCAGATTAGCCACTAATTCATCGATCTTCCTTGTATTCTCAGTTGACCACGGGTAGTGCCAGCAAGCGCTCGCAGCATAACCAGCAGCACAACAATCTGGACGCCTCGATGTTGTCACATCGCGAGGGCACACCCATGGGCGAGCTGACGCCCCATGAGGAGATCCTGTATTTGAGACGCCAGCTGGCCAAACTTAATCGCCGAGTGCTAAACATTGAGATCAACAACGAGCAGCGTACGCAGCGGGAAAAGATTGTGTACTGCTTGGGCCTGGCCTACTTCGTTCTCAAGACAATATTCTGGCTGAATCGCAATTAAATGGATGGATAGAAGGACGAAGACGGTGCTAGGCCACAACACATACACACAATAGCCTATATATGGAGACACCCCCTACCATTGGGAACAGCTTCTTTCGTTTAATTATGACTCCTCCCTTGTTTCCTTGATTTCTGTGGAAAGGCTCTGAGAGAGACTTTCGTTTGTTCGTTTGCCATATAACTTTCGTAGTCTAAGCTCGATAATAAATAAGCGCAACACCTTTCTGTTTTGTATACCGTGGAAAACCTAAAAGCAAGTCCAAAGCAAAGGCAACCCTACTTAATCTGTAAGAACCTGGCACCATTCTAAATTTAAGCTTTAATCTCTACGTGTTTCACCTGAAAAACCGCCCCCGAATTCGAACCGCAACCGAATGATCATCATCCTCTTGCACTGAATAGATATTGTTTTAATCGGGTTGTGTTTATGTTTCTAGATCTGTTAATCCCAAAGTGAAGACAAGAAAGAACTCAAATGGTATTTTGTATGCGATATCCCATACGATAAATAGTTGAATATACATTATAATATAGAAAACTACAAATCCCACAAGAATCATTGCATTGATTTTTGCATAAAACTATGACTACCAGGAAGCGATAGAGGTCATTTTAGAGTGTAGCTATTGAATTCATGATGATATTTAAAATAAAACGTTTAATATACCAAAAAATCAATGAATTTTTATTATAGTCTTAAATGTTATTATTGTTTTATTCTGAAGCTTGTTACACTGTGAAAAAGACTTTTCAGACCCTATAAATCGTATATATTCATGATCAGCATCAACAGGCGAGTCGATTTAGCCATCTCAGACCAAAGAAGACAATTTTAAAATTTTTCAAAATTTTGCCAACAATTTTGAAAAAAAATTTAATTTTCTTAAAGTTTAAATTTAGTATGCAGATTTGTTAACCTTTTAAAAACTAACATTTCAAAGCTTTTCAAATTGAAATTAATGTTTTATTTGCTTAGTTACGAGTTTTTTACCTTTGATTTTCGAAAAAATTATCATATAAGAATATAAATTTAAAGAACATTAATATTTTACCTTTGATTTTTGAAAAAATTATCATATAAGAATATAGATCTAAAGAATATTAATGTTTTATGCTTAGTTATAATCGATTTCCTAAACAATCCCATAATTTAATTGCAATTTTCAAGTGTAAATAACGTTTTTATTTTTCAAATTCATTAAATTTTCAAAAATTGACAAGAATTTGAATTTGTTTATTTTAAATTCGGTTTTTAGATTTACAAACGAAATAATAATTAACACAGGAAAGCTTTCCAAATAAAAACGAAAATAATTTTTTGAGTTAGTTATGGTTTTTTGAAATATGATTTAAGAAATATATTAAAAAATTTAAAAATAGTATAAATATATAAATATCATATCGATTTTAGGTCTTAAAATCATAGTCAATGGTATATATTTTTGTATATTATATTCAAAATTTTCTTTTTAGGTGAAAAAATACATTTTACCTTCATAGCTGAAAAAGTTTAGAGAAAAATCAAAACTAACATGGCTAAATCGATTCGGCTGTTGATCAGAAATAGGTTCACTTCCACCCCTGGTTTATTAAATTCTTTGGCAAAACTCCCTTGAAAATCAAAGAACATTATTTTTTCAACGCATTTTAAAAAAATGTATTCATTTTATTTATTTGTTGGTTGTCGATCTTCCTCTTTAAGTTATACGTATATTTATCAATTAAAACTACCGATTAAATGCAATTACATCTCTTTAGCTAACAAGACGTTTGTTTTTCATGCAAAATGACGAAAAGACCTGAGCGAAATTTCGTTTGTTTCATTTGCGGGTTTGTGTGTTCAGTGTATGTTTTGTTTTTGCAATACCGCAACCCCCAAGGATCTCTTCTACCAATTACAGATCGATTCAAGGATGAACAATATGTGGAGCCAATTGTTTTTTTTGTATAATTTTTATTTTTAATGGAATTATGTTATCGTTTACTTTACAACTTTTATATCCAAGATAAATTTTCCTTCAACGCGGCGCCCGTGAGGGCCACCGCCAGAAACAAAACAAAAGGGGGGAAATCACAACGAAATGTGTGATCTCCGCCTTCCTCTCCTTGCTTTCTTCCTTCTTGGTTGTGTCCTCTTTTTCTCTTTGTATGCATATTGTTTACGATAAAAGAAACGACTACACTATAAACTTAAATTCATAAATGTATAAATACAATTTAGCTTATTTCGTGATCGGGGTTTTTCTCGTATTGTTTGTTTTGTTCTTACAACCACATTCTCTGTGTGGTTGCTCTTGAGGAGAGCAGAGACAACGACGTCGTGCTGTGTCCGATCTAATCTATTTAGAAATGAATTACAGAAGGACTTCGGGGATGTGGCTGTTGATGGGGATTGTGTTGCTGCTGCTGCTTGTTTGTTGTGTTTTTTGTGTATGACTTGGTGATGAATATTGGAGGGATGTGATCAAGAGCAATGCGTTTACTCGCTCTCATCATCCTCATCCTCATCGGAGTCATCCTTCTTGCTCTTCTTCGATGGTTTTTTCGCTGGTTTCGCACGCTTCTTGGCACCGCCATTGGCAGCACTGCTGCCACCATTGGCCTCAAACTCCTTGACGGCCCGATCGTAGTCATCCTTGGCCTTGGCAGCCTTGGCCTCCCACTCCTGTTGATTGAAAGAATATATTGGTTAGTGGGGTTTCTTATGGTTTATATGGGGTTTATGGTACTCACCGACTTATCCTTCATTGCCCTCCATAATTCACCGCCGCGCTTGGCCACCTCGGTCACCTTAATGCCGGGATTCTCGCGCTTGATCGACTCGCGTGCACTGTTGAGCCACAGCATGTAGGCGGAGAGAGGACGTTTTGGTTTGTCGGCCATGTTTAGAGTGTGTTTTGTTTTTATTTGTTGATACTATTTAACAAAGTTTTACAACTAGGTCTTATTGGCTTCGAGCTGAAATGGTAAATAAAGGAAACAATTTATGAGTAAAGTTGTACTTTTTAAGATATCTAAGAGAGTTGACCATCTTTTCTCTTAATACAACACAAGAATAATTTAGTTATACAACACTGATTTCTATTTTCAAAACTACACTCGCAGAAAAAAAAAACCCCCTACACATTTTCTTCAGCTGCAAAACTGTACTCCTAGGGCAAAACTAATCGCTTAAAAAAACACAAATACCCCAAGCACTCTTTAACTCGAAATGTTATGGTCATAAAAGAGCACAATTCAGTTTCTTTTCCACCGCGCGCCTATGTTCTCTCTTACTCTTGTACCAAAAGTAGCAACAACAACAGCAGCAGGGGAGGGAGACAGCAAGCCACCATCGACGCAAGCAATGGCGACTCGGAACGAGACAGCAATACACAGTCTGTGTGCTCACCACACTGAAAAAATGCGCGCGCGCGCGCGTTTCTTCTCTCTGTGGGCTTGTGATGTGTTCTATCTACCTAAACGCGCGCCACTTAATAATTAATATGAAATTAATTGAACTCCTAGGCCAGAATATGAATAAATGGAGAAAATGCAATCGCTTGGCGAGTTTACAAGGGCCTGTGGCGGCGGCAGCAGCAGACGGCTGCCACAGAGCAGCGAGTGCGAAATGGCAACACATACTTTTTCTGTATGCGATGACTGCCTATGTTGGCTTGGTACAGGCTGCGGCGCGCTCTCAAAAGTGGAAGAAAACTGAAAAATGCCCTGGAAAAGGCATTTTGAGGTACAGGTTTTTCGGAAAAGTCCAATTTTGGCCTTTAAATGCTGTATTTTAACGTGCTTTAGTTGATATTAAGGCTTTAACACTCAACGTGCTTGGCCTGATGATTGTGTGTGTGTGCAATGGACGCTCTCTGGCACTCTCTTTATTTCTCTCTTAGCAGCACTGCCAAAACTAGCAGTTTATTGAATTACTTTGTGAAGTAGGCACTTTGTAGTTGTTAATACTTTAAATGTTTCTTCAACGTTATTTTATTTTTTGGCCGTTTTACTTTATTTTCTGTTCACCAACCTTTGTCGCTGAGTTTCTGGAAGAAAACTGAACGAGGTGGCGTCGACAGCCAAAAACGAAGGCAGCCGTAGAGCGGTCCCACACGTACACCTCTGCCGCCGCGCAGTCGACGTAGGCAGATGCGAAAAAAAAAATAGGAATGCTTGGCGGCGGCAGATGTTCGCGAGAGCATGAGAACGCGAGGGAAGTTTCGTGGTTTTTGGAGTTTTTTTTTTCACTGGTAATTGCTGAATTTACCAATTTTAACAGACTTTTGATTTGGTATAGTCAAAACATAAACAAACAAATTAACTTTATTGAAAAACGCCAACGGAGAGAGCTGTACTCTCTCTGAAACCGCTCTCTCTCTCTCTCTTTCTTGCTCTCTCGAACCGGCGAATTAAAAGAGAAACGTGCTAAATGCCGAGTAAAAACAAATGCAGCAAAAGAATATCTTATATGAAAAAATAGTGAAAAAGGCGCGCGTTTTGCTGGCGTCCAATAAACATTTGGCGTGCAATTGAAAATTGAAAAATCGGCGTGGAAATAAATTGCGGTGGCGGCCATTTTGAGGCGACAGCTCACCAAAGAAGCAACGAGCAAAGAAAAGAAGTCGAAGTCGAAGCCAAAATGGCAACGCTTGCCTTTGCCGTTTGCTTTCACCTCTCGATTCGTGTGGTACAGCACAGCACAGCACACCAGCGCCTTCGTTGCTTTTGCACAAGCAAACCAAGGGCGTTGAAGAACTTTGATTTTCTGACTGAAATTGCTGCTGGAAAAACTTTATTCACTCTTCACTCAACTATGCACCAAGTCCTTTTCATTCAACTTATTTTTCTATATATTCTTTGGGTTATATTTTTTGCACAATGTACGGGGCTACGATGGAGTAAGACCAACCTTGTTCGTTTCGTGTTTGAATTAAACTGTAATGGAACCAGCGTCTTTTGGCAGAACGAAAGCGAGTAGGTAGAAAATAAGCCGGACAGGCAGCGACGTCGACGGCGGCAGAGCGGCTGCAGCGCTGACGCTGCCTTTGTGTAGGTGAGAGTACTCGTACGCTCTCTCCCTCTCTCTGGCGGCGACAACGAGCAAAACGGAGGGCGATAAATGGCATGTAAAAACAAATAAAACGCTAAGGAGAAAATGCGTTTGCCGCGATAATAGACCAACTAGAATTTACCTCAGATTAAATGCGTTTTCCAAACGATTCTTGGGAGGCTGGCCACAAAATTCGCAGTATCTACAAATTTTCCTTCGTACACATACCAGCAAGAAAGGCCATCCAGCGCTCTCGCTCTCAGCAGTAGCAGCAGCAGCAGTACACATACAGCACAAGCCGACCGAGGGTCGCTTTTTAAAAATGGCGCCAAAATTTATATGCAGCTCTTCATACAAAATTGCGTGCAAATAATTTATACCTTTTTTATTTATGCTTAAATCGGAGATACCACCAAAATTTTACTTTCGTAAAAATTAGTATTACTTTAGTAATACTTCTAATTTTACTTCAGTTATACTATATTTTATAATTTTGGTCACAGTACTTTTGTGGGAAAATTGACTTCAAAAACATTTGAAATACACGATTTACCTGAAATTTTAAATGATTTTGAAAACAGATTGATTGCTAAGCCTAGGATATAAAATTTCTCGTGAATATATATACATATAAATATATTTTTTTATAGTATATATATATATTTTTTAAGTATATATATTTTTTTATAATAAGATATGTATATTACTATTAGTTTTATCTATTTTTTACTTATCCTATTAATAAATTCTTTGTTAGTAAATATGGATTTAAAAAATTATTATATTAAATAAATTCAAAACATGCTATATATTTTTTTCGTTACTACGCGGCCGTCATGTGTTCTTTTCGGAATTACGCTTCGCTTAGTAATCAAGTAATTCGCTTAATTAATCATAATTACAAATTATTATTAATTAATTATTATTTACCAGAAAAATAATATTACTTTGCGTTTTAAAACAAATTTTTATAAACTCCACGATATTTCCATTATAAAGCTATCTGAAATTCTATTTTAATTTTATGCAAATCGATCGGTTAATGTTAAATCAAATGTACATATACATAGGAAAACATTAACGTATAAGTTAATTAATTAAAAAACAAACTTTAATATGTATTATACAAAACGTTGTCGTGTCAATGTTATGTACCTTCCTATCTTCTTAGTAAAACTACTGGTACTAACCATTGGTTCATAGCTGTATTTAGTAAAATACAAAAGTTTCTTGCATTTTGAGTATTAATTCCAAGCTCATTATTTAAAAAGGTTATATTTTTTATTTGTTCATTCTTAAATTTAAGTATAAAATATATTAAAGAAACTGCAAACATTAGAACTTTCCGATTTATAGGCGGCAGATGCTTAGCAGGCATTTTCCCATAACCGCCTCAGAGAAAACCTAAACAGCCTCCGGAAAATGGGAACAAAGGACGTGGCGGTAAAATAGATCCTAGAATTGTCGCTGCAGGACAAAGGATAACGATGTCACGCGCTGTTGTTGCAAGGCCAAGATGCAATGGGAATGGAAGGGAGAAGGAAGCCAGAAAAAAAATAGAAAAACGGGCAGATGATGAAACCTACATACCTGAAAACTGCATTCCTTTGCAGCCAGACTGCAACAGGGGGGTTAACTGAAGCGAATAATGCCGTATTATTGCACAACCCCTCCTGTTAATATTACCGCCGCCTCTGTGGATTCCCGCGATCATTCCTCCATTCTCTCTTCTATCATTTCGAGTTGCCCCAAACAGAGAGAGGGAGAGTGAGAGAGAGCGTGGCCGCCCCAGTAAGAGAGCGCGAAATTTGCATATAATTTCTATGACAACTTCAATTTATTCTCCAGATTTATTACAAACATTTACGAGCTCATGAACTGCAATCAAGTTTGATTGCACTTTGGCTGCAACAGTGACGTCACAGTGTGTTGTTTTGGCCAGCTAGGCTCTCTCGCCAAACGGACCTGCGCGGTCCTCTCTTTATCGCATTTCTATCTCCCATCAAGTTACTGGGAGCGACAGCAGCAGCAGCAGCAGCAGCAGCAGCGGCAGCGACAAAAAAGCAACAAAGCACAAAATCAGCAATTTTGCAATCGGATTTTGCTTTGAAAATACTTTGTTTACAGGTTGGTTTTATGGGCTTTACGTTTTGAAAACTTCCGTAAGTCTTATGGTATTAAAGATATGATATTTTCTCCCTTTTTTAATGGAAACAACATAATTATTTGTGTTGTTTTAGGCGTAAGGTTGCGCTAGAAAGATTTTCAATTCTAACGGTAAATTATTCTATTTCTGCTTTGCTGCTTTGAAAGCAGACTGACTTGAAAGCAAGATGAAAACAATGCAAAAACTTGAACATAGAGCATCACATGAGCAAGATGTCGAGAGAGCGGGGGCAGACAGTGGTAGCAAAGCAAAAGCAAAGCAGAAGAGTAAAAAGCAACTTGAAAAGCTTCATTTGGCGTGGAACAGTTGTACGGGCAGGTTACGTTGCGTTCGTTCAATCTTGCCGTTGTGCTTTTTCCAGAGCGGGTTCCCGAAATAGAATCACTTCCAGAGATCCAATAATTTCCATTTAAAGCATGTCCGTACCGTCAAGGGGCGTGGCTTTGCCCTTTCGCTTTTCGGACGAGCGCACGCTCAAGTTCGTGGAGCTGTATGGCCGAGAACCGTGCTTGTGGAACAAACGTCCTTACTTGCGGCGAGCACGGAACGCCGCCTATAGGCGCATCCAGGCGGGGATCAATGCCGATACGGAGCCGATGGAATCACTGATCACCATACAGGGCATCAGGATAAAGATCAAGAACCTTCGCACTAGCTACCACCAGGAGCTGAAGAAGATCCGTACCATTCCGGGCTATTCGCCCAAAGCTCCATGGTTTTCCCCGCTTCACAAGTTTCTCTATGAATTCGTTGATACGGTAAGATTTATGTAACTATTAATTTGCAATTTCCTAGAGTTATTAATGTATTAGGTATATGAAATGCATGCTTTAAAGTAGGAAATAGCAGAGCGACCGAATGATCTTCATGCCCAGCGAAAAAAAGCATGTGATTTGTTGTTGCAAACTCAAGATCACGACGTACAAGCATTCTTTGACGTCACATGTCCTTCTATATCCTTTCTTTCAGGCTGAGAAAACTACTCCGTCCGCTCCCCCGCTGAAGCGCTTGCAGATTCGCCTGACCAGACTTAAGTCAATTAAGCAGCAGAACGAGATTAAACCGGATCCGGAAGAGATGGATTCTTCAGAGACGCCGCCGGTGCCACCAAATCCCTCTCTTTTTACTATCCTACCCCAACCCATGATCATGGAGCAACTACAAACCCCTCCGCCTTCATTGGACAAGATAGCCGAGCTTAACCCCGGCCCAGCTACTGTTCAGATGCCACATCCTATATCAGTAGCCAGCGGCTCCATGTCGGAAAAGAATGAAGCCATGGGAGTAGGACTTGGACCTGTGGCTGGTTTGGGACAAGGAACAGGACTTGGTATGGGAATGGGCTTGGGAATGCGTAGCGAGGATGAGTTCACTTTCTTCGGCTTGAGCGTTGCGGCCCAGATTCGTAATATGCCCTTGGATAATGCGATGGTAATTCAATCAAAGATCCAGTATATGATATCAATGGAACGTCGTAAGATTAATGGTCACTCCAACGTAGTAGATATGTTTAACTAACAAAAGCAAACGAAATTAGCTTGAACTTCCAGGAACTGAAATTTGAAGCTCAACATCTGATAAGATATATGAATGTAGAATTGAAGAAAGTGATCTATGAAAACAATCAAGTCTTCTAATGATATTCCTTAATCGTTGTGGTTGTTCTTCAAGTACTTCAAAAACTGATCTGGAAATCAGACTATGTTTAAGAGGCCATTCAATTTACTGGGCTAAGCTTCCAAGCTTATTGTTTTTTGAGTATTTTTAATTTTAGGGTATTAAAACTCAAGTCTAAGATTAAAATGAATACATATCTCGTATTTTGTATAAGTTGCTGTTGAAATAAATAATCATAAATAACTGAGTTATTTAAATGAAAAGAATTGATTTCCTTAATCTTTATTAGTATTAAAATATAACACGCTTCCGATAATCTTCATAAATTACGATCATTTCCAGTCCCAACTGGGTTTAATTTGCTGGCGCTCACTGTGCTGCCGCCGGAAGAAAGCAGAAAAGCAGAGACGCAGAAACTCGGAGCAAAACCGTACTGTACCAGCACTACAAAACAGAGCAAAGCAAGGCAGCAAAGAGAGCAGAGCCAACACAACCAAATGGCACCGCTGCTTGCTACGCTGCCTCTGTCGACGTCAACGCCAGCGCTCGGCCTTTCTCCCTCTCTCTATGTCGCTGTCAATCTCCCCCAAGTATTGGTGTAAAATACATGGTTGTGTAAATTACGCGTAAATGATGTAATGCGCTATGTATGTTTGGGAGATGCAAGCTATGTATGTATGTGCATATGTTCATCTGCAGATATATCTATATAGTTCGCTTGGGGATATATCTTTTTATTGGGCGATTTGGGCAATTCTCAGCAGGCATACGCATACCCACACGCTCACATACACGCACAATGGGCGGGTGTGTGTGGCGGGCTCATTAAATGCTCAACGGAGAGAGAAAACTGAGCCTCGGAAACCGGACGACGACAGGCGACACAACGAAACGCATAGCTGTTATTGTTCTTGTTGTTGCTTATCAGCTTTTGGAGCGGATTTTCGCAATATGTGAGAATACCCTAACGGAGGATACCCTACCCTGGAAGTCGGGCTTGGGGACTCGCACAGTTTTCCTAGACATAGACTTTCACTTTATTCTGATTGATGATTCTAAATTACATTTGTAAATCTCAACGTAATATTTATATATTTATGCATTTTTTATTATTTCTGTAAATTTAAATTAAAATGCTTGAAATATTTTATCTTTAAAATGTATTTATATTTGTAAGATACATATAATTTTGTAGCCTACTTTTGGAGACTGTTCCCAATGGTTTCGATTACACATTGATATTAATTTCCCGATTTTTACAAAAATATACATAAATATTTTAAATAATTATATTATTTAAAAATTTCAACACTTCCTGTGTTCTTAAAAAGGTTTAAAAGTTATTTAGTGTTTTAAAATTTTATTGCAGGTTATTTTCCTCAAAATATATTTAAATTTTATTATATATAAATGGACTTGCAGAAACATTAAATATTTCGAAGTCAGATCGTGTTTTTTAGCTTATCCAATCCAAACAGCAAGTCTACTTGCTCAAATTTCCACTTCCCCCCAAAGTGGATTTTTATGCGACTCAACAAAATTATAGGTTTCTTTCAATTTTACGATACGGAAATCGGTAAACAAAGCTACTCATATGAATAAAAATAAACATTTAAAAGCCTAAACATATAAACATATTCGATTTTTCAATTTATTTATAATTGGGGTATAGGTATGCCTTCTGAGATGGATTGGTTTTATATGCTGGTTTTTTATTCTCTTGATTTTATATTATTATTGTTTTTTTTCATTTGCTTTAATTCCTTTATTGCCCTAAGATTTTAGTTTTTCTCGGAGACACGTCCAAAAGTGAATTCTCGCCCACACAAACACTCTCCCCTAGCGCACACACACACACACACACACCTAGAACTTCACTTTCGCGCTTTTCGCTTTAAATTGGGTCACAAAGGAGTTGGAGTCCTGTGCCTGTTCCTGGTTCCTGGTTCCTCCGATGCCTGCTCCCGTTCCCGCTCCCTCTCCCGCTCCTGGTTGTTGCTCTCGTGTTTCCCAGCTTCGGTTGCAATAATAGGCGCCATGGAATGTGCTGAAGATACTGAACTTGGCCGTGGATTCCGTATGGGGGGGGGGGAATATTATCCGTATCGTCCAGTTGCTCTATGCTGTTGTTGTTGCTTTTAGCGGCCGGCGAGCTTTACCCAAACACAACACAACACACAGACACTCGCAGAAAGCAACAATAACGGAGGCAGACGAACCACAGTGACCACTCGGTAGAGGGAGCCTTTGTTATTACTTCCAGAGTCACATTCCAGTGTCAATGTATAGCCTGTTTACTGTATCTTGCGAATAGCCATCTCTCTCTCTCTCTCTCTCTGTTCACCATTTCCCCTTTGAATTTCGCGAACATGCATCAGCTGTTCGGCAGAATCGAACAACAAGAGACAACAGTGGAGGAGGTAAAAGGTGGTGGTGGAGACGGGAAGGTGGGGGCGAAGACGGAGACCCAAACAGAACCAGAACGGAACGCACTGTGAGCAAAATGCTTGACGCCTTCAAGTTTCGATATTCTCGTGCCCATTCTGATATATGTATGTACATATATGCAGGTGTGCTAGAGCCATTGGGCTGACACCTGTTAAGCGAGATGAGGGAACTCATAGATTCGCTAAAAGTCAGAAGATCAGATACTTTTAAGAGCGTAGAAAGTACCCAGAAATTGAACAGAATATTTTTATTTATCCTTAAACTTAAGTAATTTCTGTAATTCCCCTATTTTTCCTTTAAACTTAGGTTAAAAGGTTGTAGATCCTATTGAAACTTTATAGAATTTATTATAGGGAAATAATAGAAGCAAAAGTAGAATCTAGTTTCCCGAATATTTTACCCAATATTTATGAATTTGTTTAAATGGCATTAATTTTAATTCGGAAAAGACTCCTTCACAGCGTTACAAGCTTCTGATTAATACTTTAATACCCTGCAGGGGTATAAAAACTACCACAAAAGTTACAAACTTGTCAGTACTTAAAACAGGACATGTTAATAACTCCTAAACGATCTCTTTTGACAAGAAGTGGCGCCAAAATAAAGTTATGCTTCCTGCCCCCGAAAACGTAACGGTAAAGGCGATAACCAAAGTGTATTTAGTCCATATGGCAACCATATTGCATCAAGAAGGATATAAAGAGGAGAGGCAACAACGAGGGGGAAGGAGCACCGACAACAAGTGCGCCCGCCCAGTGGCAAGAAGTCCACAGAGTTCATATTCCCCAGTCCGAGCCAGGACGGGGACTGGACTCTTTTGCCTGCTGCATCCTGCTGTGAGCACTTCAGTCTCCTGATTGTCTGCACAAGGATACTCGGTTCAGTTCCATGAAAGGCACAAAATACTCGTACTCGTATTCGTACTCAACTAAATATGTGTGTGTGTGTGTGTTTTTCGCAGGCAATAATACGGATCCCAAGTCCAGGCAGCAGGAATCATCAACCTAAGCTGGCTAAGCAGGGTCGCTGGTGCTGGTAGCAGGCAGGACGAAGCAAAACCGGGGCTCTGCATACTCCTCTTAGGCCATTACCAAGATGAAAAGTTGCTGCAGAATATGGCAGCCAGAAGGAACGTGCCAGAGTTTATTATAGGGTATGATGAGCATATGTTTGCTGGGTCTTAATACAGTTTAAATCGAAGAAATTGTATACACGTTGAGGAGAATAGAAACTAATATTGAGATGGGCTTGTTATAACATCGATTTATGGAAATGTCTGAGAGTATCCAGAGCATAGACTTTGGGAAGTTAGGGGTTCCTAACTTGGCTTTGATATGCTAGAAAACTGCTCATGATTGCACTGTACTAAGCCATCCTATGCATCTTAGAGTATACAGTCTTCGTTTAGAATTGATATAAATGCATGCCAGGCAGGGCTCGTTATATCCACATCCTGTCAACTGTGCCCCTCATGCGTCCCCTCCCCCCACTTTGCTCCCTCGCTCCCTGGCTGGCTGGCTCTCGGCTCGTTAGCTTTCGTTCGTTTTTGCATATACTCCTTCACTCCGCCCGGGAGCGAAGCCCCTGCTCGAAAATTGCCACCACCGAAAGGCAGGCCTGCTCACCTCCCAGGAACAATGGCAGCAAAACCAACACCAAGCTATATAGCCTCCCATCCCCCCTGGATATATTTTCTGACTCTCGTTCGGTGTGTTACACAGACACGGCGGCTGAAATGAGACGACAAACAGCCATAATAATCGACCGAACCCACTGGGCACGGTGGGACCGAAGGGTCCAAAAATCCAAGGAATCCGGAAATTATATTTTTACATTAATCGGGAATATATAGAGGTTATATTATAGAGGATATATCGAAGGAGTTACAGTAGGTGAAGGAGGAGGATGAGGTGGAGGGCGGAGCAACCCCTTCTTTTTAGGTAACCCTGAGTTGTTTTCCCTGTGAGGTCAATGATCTGTAAAATTTGTACGTTATCCTGCTTGTCCGATCAAAGGATACAGTTGCCGCTGGAAAAATATATACATATGCCATAAGAAAGGATATATTTACTCTTTGTAAGTGGGTATATATTTCTTTAGTTTGGTATTTCTAACTAATAAAGGTAGTTTTTTTTTAAATAAAAGTAATCATTAATTGGACTTAAACATTTTTTGGGGGAATCTCTCTATAAGGTAAATCATTTAAAGGTATAAAGAAGGAAGACTTTATGATATCTATGGACCTACGTATCTTATAATAATACCTCCTTATAGTACGTTTCTCCTCATACATTTATTAAGATACCTTATAGAACACCTTTTACTTGATATCTTCTTTCCTAAAATATTAATATTTTATTATCTAACCAAGTTTTCTAGATACAATTTAGAATACAAAGATGCCTGATCCTATTTGAGTTTGCATATATCATCTCTAGAACAACCTGTTTCTAACATATACAAAAAAAATACCCCTAGAACTATCCCTAAGATACAACCCCAAAGTATCTCCTAGATTAGCATCAGTTATTAGTATCCCATATCCCAGAATCTGATTAATCCGATGATTCGTTAACATATTGCCCCACTGCCTTGGCACACACACCCTACACTGAAACGGAGCGGGCGCTTCGATTTCATGGTTTCATGGATTTTCTCTGTGTTTGCTTCTCACTCGGCCGGCTACGGATACAGATACAGATACAGCTACAGCTGCAGCAGATACAGTCGCGCGAGTATGTGGAACGGCCGTCTGTTTGTCCCTCTCTCTCTCTCTTTCTCGTTTTCTCTTTCTCTCTCTCTCTCTGTCTGCCTCTCAACGCGTTCGTTCGCTTCGTGTTTTCAGCCAAACTACAGCCGTTGCTGCCCTGCTGTACTGCGGTTCTGTGGCCTGCCTTGCCAGCGTCTCTATAGAGCGAGATACTCGCACAGGCGACGAGCTGAACGAACTGTTGGAAAACAGGCGGGCTTGGTCGACTTGCGGAGTGCGCTATTCGGTGGCCCCAATTCGGTCGGCTGATTGTCAGTTGACTTGATAAGATAGAGCGACTTTGCAACACCACAACATCTGATGTCATTTCGCTAGTGAACCTGTGCTGTTTGAGTTTTGAAGTCGAATTTTTGAGGACCTTTTTAAAAACGAAATCAAATAAAATAATATAGGATAAGGAAATAAAATATTGAGTCTTACTTATCGTGTTTCAGGTTTTAAAACTACTACTAATGTAGTTGAATCCATATTTTAGATACGATTTTTGTTATAATATCCAATCAGCTTTTATTTTTTTATAAACAAAATTTCTTAAATTAAGTATTTATTTTTAGCTTATAAAATAATCAGATCTTAACATTATACAACCCTGTAATTCAAGAGCTTGTAGGAAATTGCACAAAAGTATAATTAAGAATGTAGAAAATATCTCAAGTCACGCAGACTATGTAATTAACCTAAGATCCATAGGAATCCTATTTTAGGGTAATTAATTTTTAATTTAAATGTGTCAAAGCATTTTATACTTATTCCATAATTTCAACTCTTATTCTAACATCAAAGTAATAATATTTTAAATCTTTAAAAACAATATATGTTATTAAAGATTCCCAACGCACATACTTCCCGTTAAGATTAAGTAGTAATTGTAATAGTAGTACAACCCAATATTTCTCCTTTTTAATTATCATTTAATAAAATTTATTTATAAAATTAAATAAATTTTTTTCCCGTTTTTATAACCCGTTCACTCCACCCAAGTTACAAAATCATCCCAAATTTACCTATAAACTTAAATTGTCTATATGATTTGGGAAATAGTAACACCAATTTCTTAAAATTTGCAATAAATAATTTAATTATTCAAAAAATTAATATACAATTTAAGGGTTAAAATAATCCTTAACCAACTCACATACCAGATACATTACTCCCTAGTGGTAAAAACCATTCAAAATTTTACAAGAGTATAAAGTACTCCATAACCAGTAGGGCTTTATCTACACATTATGTAAAAAATATTATATTTATTAATAAATTTTAACGGAAATTTAAATAGCATTAAATAGATAAAATATTACCCTAATAATCCCTATACCAGATACAATCCATTTTAGTGTTAGATACCATCCAAAATTTTACCAGAAACTCAGAAATAACATTAAAAACAACCAAATATCTTAAGATGATGTTAAAAATAAGGTATTTCTAATGAGAATTTACCTAAAATTTATATAACATTTCAAAGTAAATAGAATTCCCTACCGACTGGCATACCAGGTACACCCCATCCGAGTGTTAAATATTTCACCAGAGAGGCAAAGAAGCGAACATGAGGCCGGGGCGGCCATACTGTGCTCGGTTTCGGTGCTCTGGCTCTGGCTATGGGCTCTATACGGTGCTCTTGCTTTGCTTTGCTTTGCTTTCATATAACGAACGAGCAGCTATGGCTACCCATACATTGGCATTGCCTCGCCACCAGACCAGCCGGGCCAGATACACACGGACGCGTATCTGTGAGCTACTCGGGGGCATACAGGCGCGCACACACAGGCCGAGATACAGATACTCGTACTGGCGCTCGTACTGGCCTGCGTTTGCGTCGTTCTCGTGCTTCGTTCGGTGGACTGGCTGACTGGCTGGCCTGTGTGGGCTCTATGGCCTGTGTATTTGATATTCCAAAGGCAAAAGCTGTACTACGTACCAGCCAGCGAGCCAGCGAGCCAGCGACTTGAGTTTTAGTGGAAGAAGAAAATTTTATAAAGTGAACCGAACGTTGTACTGAACGCTGAACTGAACGCTGTGTGGCAAACTGCTGCTGCTGCTGTTGCCTGAGATTTTCGCCCGATACATTTTTTTGGGGGGCCTGCAATTAAAACGCAAATTACGCGACATTTTCGTACGGGTAAGTGTCAAGTGTTTCACTACGATTGATTCGTCATTGTATTGCCTTAATTATTGGGTATCTTAACCAGCGCCAACGTGGCCATTTATTATATAAATTTTGCAAAAAAGAAAGGCGCAAAGAATATAACCAAAAACCGACCCCAATTTGTGCCAGGCAGCGTGGGTTATTCCACTAGTAGTATGGCTATAGCCTCGGGTCCCATATATATTTGGTGGAGGAGAGTGGCTGTGGCTGTGGCTACGTTCTCGTATTGGGATTCAATTTTTGAATGGAGGGCGGCGCGCGCCAAATATATTGACGGTTATTTTTTGAATTTCCTATGAGCATTTCGCTGATTACCCAATCGATTCCTAGTATCTCTGTGCTCTGTGTAAATGTCAAATCAATATTGTAGGTTAAATATTTTATGGAAAAAAATCACTCGCACACAATTTGATAGTTAACAAAATTATGGAAATTACAATAAAAATTATAAACTCAAAAAGTTGAGAAACTTTTAGGCCATGAGGGGGAGAGATATTCGGGGGCCAAGAGAGATGAGCACTTGATATTTTTTGTATTTTATTAAAATTTGTTTTTTAATTTTTTGCGGGACGCCAGGGCGGTACAGGTGGGCGGGCGGGCAGTTAAGGTTACGCTTTTATATACTTATATCTTTATATATATATGTATGTATATAAGGTGGTTTCAGGAGAGAGAGGGGGCTGAGAGGTAGTAGGGAGGGGTATGAACAGTGGAGGGGGCAGAGCGGCGCCGCCAAATACTACTGGCATTTCGTTCGCACAACGCTCAGCGCTCAGCTCCATGCTTTTTATATGGGCAGCGTACAGTCGCGGCAAAAATAGTCGGGCATGTTGCGCATGTTTATGGATTCCGTATGGCGGTTGGGGGGCCTCAGATAAACATAAGTAGAGTAGGAGCCTCCCCCTTTATCTCCCTCATTTCAAGTGTTTTTCTATGCAAAGATATTTTCTTTAAGTGTCTATTAGTAAGCACAGAGGTTTGTCTCTGATAAAATAGAAGTTAAAGGTAACCCAACAAGTATTTAATTTTTTATTTGGAACTTAAAAAAAAAAATTGAAATAAAAATATTTTTAAAATAAAAACATTTCTTAAAAAAAATATATGTAAAATGAAAATAATTATACATTTAGCTAACTAAGAAAATTAAAAAAATATATATATATGAAACTAAGGCTTTAACCATATAATAAACCCATATAATCCCATATAATAAACCTAAGTACTTTATTTGAACCTTATTTTTATTGGATTTTTTTTATTACAATTATTGTATCTAATTTTATAGATTTTTTTTAATAGCTCCCTTAAGTTCCTTCAAGTTTCAAGAATACAAGTATTACCTGCAAACCCCCAACCTCTAATAGTTTGTGAGACTTAAAATAAAATTGCTCTTGCATAGCCCCACTAATATTGTCCGCCGCCAGTGTGCATGCGCTGTACTGAAGAGTTGCCTCTCGGCTGGTCGTAATTTGAAAGGCCGCCAGTGTGCGGCCACGCGAATTATATGGCACGATGTATGCAGACCCGAAGCGACGCCACTGTGCACATACTACAGTCGCCTACCCTTGGCTGTGTGGTGGCGTCGAGGAGAGCTGCGAACTGGGAATTTGCTCTGGCTCTGTGTGTTGGTTGGTCGCTCTCAGATACAGATACTTTTGTATGCCTGCCTGTACGAACGTACTGGCTGCTCTGCTCTGTGCTGTGCTGTGCTGTGTGTTATTTGATGGTCTCGCTGTTCACTCGCTCGCCCGCCTCTGCCCCGGAAACCTCCCTCGACCGACGACCGACAACCGACCGCCTGCCTGCCTGGGTTTTGCTATAGCTCAGTAGCCTGGTACAGCTGCTTCAGTTGAATTTCAGTTCAGTTCGCCTTCCTATAGACGCGTCGCCGTCGCAGTGACTCGATTTCAGTGCGATTTTCACAGTAGAGGCAGTAGAGGCAGCACAGCACAGAGGCCCAGAGCCCAGTACCAGTCGCAATCCAAAATCCCAGTATAAAGTGAAGTAAACACACGGAGACACAGGAGAAGGCAAAGTACGTACGTAGATATGGGCAATATGAGCATTTTTCATACGATTTTTGTGAGGCATTTTACACTCGTCGGCAAATTAGTCGATCCGGTTAATAATCTTCGATTGATTCAGGTTCTCGGTTATGTGTTTAAGTAATTAGGAAATTGAGAAAGTAATATCCGATATTATACCTTGTTTACTCGGCTAGTTGCTAAGATTTTTCTTGAGCATTACAGGTGTTTTTAGTGTCCCTAGTGATTAAGGTTTAAGAAATGCAAGTTTAATTCTATGGTGAAGTCATGTACTTGAAGGAAGAGTTTTATTTAATTTATGTATGAAATTTTAAGGAAAAGAATTTACAAGTGAAATCATAAATCATTTAGAAATACTTTTCGAAAGAGGATAAAAATAAAGTGTGTTTATATTTTAGTGTTATAGGGTTAAACCTTTATTTAAGTAAACACAACAATTTGAGATAGATTTTATAATTCTTTCGATGTTCACTTAAAAATGTTGTTCGGGTTAACTTTGTATATTTAAAGTTTTTTTTTAGGCACTATTAATGTGTCTTAAAAATATTTTAAAATTATAATTTCCTTCTGAAATTTGAAGTATATAATTTTAAATTCAAATTATGGTTTGGCCAGTGTCTTTGTTGACCCTGCCAGGGCACATTCACACACCAAATGCAAGTCACTTGCCCGTCGCACCTGCCTTTGCTGGCGCTTTTTGATTTCCGATCGGCTTCGGATATCCTGTACCTTTGGGAAATGGAAAATATGGACAAGGGCCACCCACCTGTCGCCAACTATGGCTTTTTGGGGCTTTCAAGGCAGTTTGAAATTAGGTTTTGGTTAAGAATTGGGTGGCTTATCCTTGATTTTCGGAGTAGAGATAAGGATAATAAGGACTTGTGACTTGTCTTTTGCTTTATTAATTTTGTGGGATTTTAAAGTTGTAAATAAAAAATTGAGGAATAGAGTATCAACTTATTAAATCTGAATAGATCTTTTCAGGCTTAAGCACAGGATTGAAATTGTTTAGATGTTAATAAGTTTCTTTGAGCTTATCACTTGATAAAACTTTAATAATTATTTTATGTAGTTTACATTTTTGTTATTAACTCCATTTTGTATACTATTTAAGCATATATAGTCTATGCTTTATAATATCCCTTTGATCCTTTAAGATCATCGCCTAACTCTTCACCCCTTTTCACTTTTACTTGTCCTCGTTGACTTTTTGCTGTTTTGTGTAGTTTTTTTTTATCACGCTGTGCTCGTGTTTTGCTTTGATTTTTTTCATCTATTTCTTTATTGTTGTTTTTTAGCGCTTTGCGTGTTGCAGTCTCGAGTGCAAACTAAAAATGGCGCCAAAAGTTTTGTTATATAGTCCCCCCGCTCGCACACACACAGTCACAACAAAGAGAGAGGGAGTGAGAGCGTTCAAAGCTTCTTCTTCTTCGCCTCTGGGCTGAATTTTACAGTTACAAAGCTCTTTTCGCGCCAATTTTCCGTGCTTCCATGCCTTCTAATCGAGCATGCGAGATATAGGGCTTAATCTATGGGGGAGATAGCGGCTAGTTCCATCAAAAGTCTCGTGCGATCTTTAGATTTTCCGCTCTTTTTTCCACTGATAGGGAGAGAGATAAAGATACTCACTCAGTGATATTTGCAAAAGTAGGAAAATAAGGGAGATCTTTTTGGTGTTTAAGAGCTAAAAAATATGAAGCTTTAAGGAAATATTTTAAAGGCAAAGGTTTTTTTGAAGGTATATTTTAGAGGAAAATTTTTATACAAACATTCAATTTTTACCTTGCATTTCTCAGATGAATAAATCAATTTATCAACATTAAATCCTATATATTATTTACGTATTATAAATAAAACTCTGCAGTGAGCTTTAAAATAAGAAAATAATTTTTCTTTAAGTATAAACTGCGTCCCTTAAAGTTAATTTATTATTCTGTCATTAAATTGTCCACAATTAATAACTTGTTTTTATAAAAAACAAGCAGTACAGGCGCCATCTGTCGCACCTTTTTGCCTTAATAGTGCCGTTATAATATATGCAGCTGTAATGGCGATGGCCTACCCTTTGATTTTTGCCACGACTGTACATACACAGCGAGAAACCGGGGGATGCACAGAGCAAAGAACGTGAAAGGGTCGTTAAGGCACTCGATATGTGTACCCATTAAAAGTCACCACTGTGCGTTCAGAGCGTTCGCTCACCGAAAGGGGAAAACACACAGGCACATAAAGGCCATTGCTTCCAGTGCGCAAATCCCTGGGAAAGTATCTACCCTAAAATGCTGGTTCTGCGCACAAGCTTCGTCCTGCTGGCAGTGTTTCGTCCTGGCTGGCTGTGTTGGGTGGTTGCTGCCGCTGCCACTGCCGCCTCCCTGCCTCGTTTCGCCGCCTAACGGGGCATTAAAAACACACGCCATCAGCACACACATATTCTCGGCCGAGATAAGCGTTGTCAGTTTGCCTCTCAGTTGACGTCAACGCCTCTGCTTCAGCCGCAGTCGCAGTCTCTGCCTCTGCTGCAGTCTCTGCCTCTGCTGCAGTGTCTGCTTCTGTCGCTGCCTCTGCCATTTGCCACTGTTTCCAATTCAATTTTTAGATCAACAAAAATGGGCAGTTCTTTGGCCAGGATTTTCGGTCTTTTTTTTCTTCTGCCCCTTCATTTGGTATTCCATTTATTGTCCTTTGTGTGCGTCCTGTGTACTTTCGTTATATATCCACAGTACCTTCCATGGCACACGTTGCGTATGCGTAATGTGCACTACAGTGCTGTCCCTGGTGCGTATGCGTAATATTTATAGGGGAAATTAAGGGAAATATTAAAATTTTAACTGGAAAAATTGGTTTTAGGGGCTAAAAATAATTTGTTATAATGAAAAAATTTAAGATTTTAATATTTATTAACAAATAAGTTAAAATTTTAAATATGTGTGGCATTTTATGCGACCTTAAGGGTAATAAATGGTTAAAATAATCTAAAGTTTTCGTTAACCTCAATAAGTATTATTTTAAATAAAGAACTCTATATATTAAATTTATTCTTAAATACTTTCTGGTCTTTATTTAATTTTTAAACAAATTTCCCAAATAAAATCCGTTCTTCCGGAACGGAACCCTTTTTGAAGTGTTTTAAAGATGCTTTTATTCTCTTAAAACCGTATATCCTATATTCCTGTCCTGTTTTCCACTTGAGAAATGTGTTTGACTTGTTTTGTTAGAGCCAAAGGGCCAAGTTAACAGCGCAGAACAGCAGATACAGATACAGATGCATTTTTGGGGCCAACAACTAACCAAAATATATATCTAAAGGCACACAGACAGTCAGAGGCGTGGGGGCAGGGCCTTGCTTTTCGCTTTCGATTTTCTAGGTGGACTATACCACCCCGTTTTTGCCTCCAGCAGAGGAGGATAGGGGAATAGAAGGAGGCCTTATCCTGGCTGCATCACGTGTTGCCGCAATGTGCGGAGCCATCCATCCGTCTGTCTCTATGCGTCGAACTAGCAACAATTTTGCCGCCGTTTTCCCTGTTGCTCCTGGACACACAGGATGTGCATGCACAAAAGGGGGGTTGGGCAGAGGAGGCGGAGGAGGAGGAGTGGTTGTGCCTGGCCTGATTGATGGCGACACTCCTGCACAGCCCCTCGATCCCCTCTCTGTATGTGTTTGTGGCAGCGTCTCCTCGGGGCCTCGGTGCCTCCGTGCCTCGGTGGCTCTGTGGCTCTATGGCTCTGCTCCTCCATCCGCATCCTTTACAGCGTTTTCGAGTCGTTTGTTAACCCAATTCACGTCGTTATGCTGACTCCTGGAGTCCCCCACTCCCCCCCGTGCGCGCTGCCTGTCGATGTCTCGTGCATTTTGCGCTGAATTCTGGATTTGGGTCAAGTGCATGGCTTATGGCCGTTGTTTGGGGGCCAGAGTGTCGTCGTTTTGCTGTCGCCATTGCCTCATTTGCATGCCTTTTCCCTCAGCTGATTTGTGTCTAGAAAAAGGGAGAATAAGTTGTCGCTTCGAGTTCACTGGCTCTACGAATGCGAAAATTTCTTCGGGGGTAATGACCTCTCTCTCTCTCTCTCTCTGACTTGTACATAATGCCAATTAAATAGGCAGTACATATACATATATGTATTTATGTATAAAAGAGGCAATCGGCAGCCACAATTAATCGGATATGTACATAGTATCGTTGTCATAAATAGCAATTATATATGTACCAGGAGGCATTTATGTACATAAAGCCGTCAGGATTATGTATTAAAAGTTGAAGGAGGAGGAGTGCAGGTCCTGTGCACGTACAGGCAAGCATATTTAATTGATGAATCCTGATTCATGTTCATGTACAACCGAAAATGCAATTATTGTTTATTTCACAGATTGAGAAGGTAGAAGAAAAGTTGAGGGTTTGTTTTTTACAGATATTAATAAAGAGAGTTATTTATTGGTAATAAAGTTTTTACTTTAATGTGTAATTAACTGTTTTGAGGTATTATATCATACTTATGGATACAATTGTTAAATAAATGTTTAGCTCTTTTATACCTTTCGTTTTTAACTAAGTTTTCCTTTATTTTCCCCTCTGATTTTACAGTCTGCTTAAGAGCTAAGACCTCGTTTTTAAACCTATAAAAAGTTAAAGTAAAAAAACAGCAACAAATATGAGTGGAGATCGCCCGAAGCGCCCCTTGTCGGCCTATATGCTCTGGTTGAATGAGAACCGTGAACAGATCAAGAAGGATAATCCTGGCAGCAAGGTGACAGACATCGCCAAGCGAGGCGGTGAGCTGTGGCGCGGACTTAAGGACAAAACTGTAAGTGGATCAAAAAAAGCTACTCCCTCTGAATAAATACTAAATCTTTAAAAACATATATTTCTAGGAATGGGAACAGAAGGCCATCAAGCAGAAGGAGGAGTACAACAAGGCGGTGAAGGAGTACGAGGCCAATGGTGGCACCGACTCTGGGGCGCCCAAGAAGCGAAAGAAGGTGGCCGCCAAGCCCGCCAAGAAGGCCAAGAAGAAAGAGTCCTCCGAGGAGGAGGAAGAGGATGAGAGCGAGTAAAATGGGCAACGTTTTTTCTGCATAAGTTTTAAAATACATTTTATTAATGTAATTTTTTAAGTGACAAACAAAAGAAAAGAAAAAAAAAATACAAAAAAACCAACACAAAAACTTAATGAAAACCACAAAAAAATATAAGAAAAAAGCAAACAACAAAATGAATTAAGATCCTTAAATCTTAAATCTTTAAATATGCACTAAATCAGACACACACACAGCCACAACCACAACAACATCCAACATAAACCATAAAAAAGGAAAAACCTTTAGCCACTGTTCTTTAACTTCTACATATATATATATATTCTAGGTTTGTACGTATAAATGTAATTACATATGTGTAATTAATTAATATGTCATTAATTCTCCTTAAAAAAAGAAAACACAAAACACACACCGAGCCCCCTTTTAGCCACTTTCGAATTGCATCAAGTTATCTGGATTTTCGAGTCCTTCGATTCGGAAGCCACAAAGTTATATATATATACATACATTTTAAACTATATATATATATGCATAAATATATATATTTAAATATATATATTATGTAATTTAAATGAAGCAGAAGATGAAATATGTAATTGTGAATGTAGAGCTGAATGGAATATTTAAAACAAACCACAACAAAAAAATATACATAAAAGAATTGTGAAAACAAAACGATGGACTTGATTTTCTTGGGAAAATGTTGGAAAATTGGGTAAAAGCTTGGCCAATATTGAGCTTTTTTTTGGTTAATAGGTAGCTTTATTTTATGTTATAATTTTATTCAGAAGCTTCAAACACTATGAAGGAGTCATTTCCGAGCCTATAAATCATATATATTCTTGATCAGCATTAACAGGAGAGTCGATCTAGCCATGTGCAGTCGAAATCTATTTTTTTCAAAATTTTCGAAATTTTATAATTTTTTACATCATAAAAATTGTCAAAAATTCGAAAAAAATTTAATCTCTTTAAATATTACATTAAGTATGCAGTTTTATTAAACAGATAAAAACTTATGTACGAAAGCATTCCGAGTTTAAATTAATGCTTTTTTAGCTTAGTTATGAGTTTTTTAAACTTTGATTTTTTTAAATTTTTGCCATATTAATATATATTGAAAAATATTGATTCAAAGACGAATGTTTTAAGCTTAATTATGATAATTTTTCGATACGTTTATATATTTAAATTGCAACCTGAAAAGGTATATCAACTTTAGCTTTCTGAAATTAGTTTCCCTTCTTGAATTTATTTTATTTATTTATTATTTATGTATTTTATTTTAAAATTCTTTATTTTTTCCTTGTTATTATTTAATTGAAATACATAATTAAAATTTACATGTTATCCTTTAAACTTATATACATTTTCCCTTGACTACATCCCACTGTAATTTTTGGGAGCCTTCAAAGAGCGCCTGCGTTACTTTTGTTTTGGACTAACTACTTTTTGGTGCCGCACTTCGTTGTCCAGTTTATCTTCTTCGCCAAAGGCGACTGGATGATACATCCTCCTCGGCCAGGATACTAGAAGGAACTCTTTAAGCCAAAGAAAAAAACTATCTCCAGGCAGTAAAAACAGTAAGTCCTCTAAGAACTCTCGGAAATTTGTAGTTTATAGTTTGAACACTAAGAAAACCCAAGATAAGTCCCTGAGCATGTAATAATTTAAAGAAAACTCAACCACCTGTTGAGCTTTTCCCCATCAACAAAACAAAGGAAAAGCCAAGAAGAGGCAGCTCTTCAGCTGGAAAAATCAATAGAGCATACAGAGCATATGGCTGATAGTTGTCAGTTGAGTATATACATATAGATAACACTCGGATAAGGTCAAGTGCATTGCGTTTTGCGTGTCTACGCAGCACATTAATCATACGCCATGTGCAACACGCACAAAGCTCAATACTAAACGAGTTTCTGTTTTTCCCGCTTGATTATAGGAAGAGGTGGAGGAGGAGGAGACGGAGGAGAACTAACGACTGACCCTGAACCCTGGGTCCGCCGACACTGAACTTGCTCCACGGATCTAGGACTTATTGGTTTCACGTGGGTCACAATGTCCAGCATGGCACGCTTTCGGAAGGTGAGTTTAATGGCCAAAAAGGTTATTGTTTATATTAATCAGGGGATGAAGTATACAAAAAGACAATAAAGAGCGGGGAAATAGATAAAAATGAAGCTCAAAGTTGAAGGTTTTATGTTAATTATAGATTTGATAAGCAATTTTTATTTATTTTTAGAGAGAGAAAAGTTTAATCTCACTTAAAACGATGTATTTTTGTAGGCTTAATTCTTTTTAATAAAATCAATACATTTTGCATAATTATCTTAGAGAGAGAGTGAACATTTTTAAAGGATTTTTGTACCTTAATTGTATACTTAACTTGTATTTAACATGGAAATGATTTACATTTTAGGATATAACTTGCTTAATTAATTGTACCCTTATTGGGTCTTATAATTTTAGTCAGAAGCTTGTAAAAGTGTGAAGGAGTCATTTCCGATCCAATAAATCATATATATTCTTGATCAGCACCAACAGCCGAGTAAATCTAGCTATGTCCCATCAAAATCTTTTATTTTTTCAAAATATTAAAATTTTTGTAAGGGGTTACATCGTTAAAATTGTTTAAAAAAATCGAAAAAAACTGAATCTCTTTAAATGTTACACTGAGTATGCAGATTGATTAACCTCATAAAAACTAACATAGAAATGCATTCCAAATTAAAATTAATGCATTTTTGACCAAGTTATGATATTTGAAAAACTTGAATTTGTACAAAATATTGTCGTACAAAAATATTGATTCAAAGAATAAGAAAATTTTAAGCTTTGCTAAGATAAATTTCCGATTCGATCCTAACATTTAATTTGAAAATACAAAGGTATATCTTCATGAAGTTAGTTTCCTTTCTTACTTATGTAAATATAATATTCCTAGAAAAGTTTTTTTTATTATTATTGTATCTTTTGTTTTATATTGTATTAATTGTAATTGTAATTGTATTATAATTGTATTAATATTATAGCCTTAACTTTCCATACAGATCTAAGACAAAGTTCAAGCCATAATTCGCAAGACTTGAGTTCAAAGCAGGACTCTAGGGTTCAAGGAGAGCTGACTTAGCTAGTTGAACTTGCCTTTCTTTAAACTTCTACTATGTATTAGATACTGTTAGCAGACAGATAGATAAATAGATAGATGAGCTATTGGCGTTCCAAGCGGCGCTTGTGCGGGCGCAATTACCATGCGGATCACACTTGCTGGCCCCCGCTATCTTTGTTGTTTTTATTGCAATTGCGTGCTGCCGCCTGGCTGGTTCGCCTTGTTTTTATTTATTTTTCTTGAAAACCTAACCAACGGCGACCCTCAATCGGTGGAACGTGTACGCGGCTCCATTCATTCGCAGGTGAGCAGCAGTCCCAGTGAGGAGCTCGAACCGGAGGCGAGTGCATCGCTACTGAAGTCATCCCCGAATATACTGGAGAACTTTGCCTACGACGAGTTCCACAACCATCAGCGGCTCAAGCGTATGGCCACTGCACCCAACTCGGGCTCCGGCTCAGGCTATGGCTCTGGTTCCTCCACTTCCAATTCATCTTCCTCGAAGAGACGGGAGCCCAAGTTCTGTGACACTCTGGAGCGGCATGCCTTCATGCGGAATGTGATCAATACGCGGCAGCAGCCGGAGAGTGTGCGCCGCTACTCCAGTCCCGGGGAGAAGGAGGCACAGGTAAGACGCAGCCTGGAGGAGATCACCAAGGATCTCAAGGAGATCGAGCAGTTCGTCAGCGCCACCGAGGAGCTGTTGCAAAAGGAAAAAGAGCAGGAGCAGATCCTTAACTCCGTCTCCAACAAGGAGAACAAGTCGCCAAGTCCCATCAAGAAAGTCACTTACAAGATTAATGCCTATAAGGCACCACCGCGACGTCATCGTCCTGGCAGCCCAAGGTTCTATCACTCCCGGCTGTACTTCAGGAACGGCAGAATCGGTTGTGTGGAGTCCACGGAGCACCAGAACAATGTGGGCGCCACCCATGCTCTGGTCAAGCACATCCTGCGTCACGAGAAGCCATTGGTCAGTCCAGATAGCGTGAGGAGAGTTCTCGAACCGGAGAGCTTCGAGATGGTGCCTCTCCCAGGAGCTGTTGTTCCTCCAGAGATTGTTCCTGATCCCATAGCCCAACAAAGGGCAGAGGAACTGGCTGCTGCCACGGGTCAGGTGGTTCTACCCAAAGAGGAGGAGGATGAAGAGGATCAGCAGCAGGCAGACTCACAACCCATTATCGACGAGGACGAGCAGGATGTGCAGATCTGTTACAACGAATCCCCGGAGCTACAGAATGAAGATCGCAACGAGCGGGCCCAAGGAACACCGTCCATCAATGAGAGCGAGATTGTGGCTGTCGAGGAGCCGCAAACGGAAGTTAACATGGACATGGACCTGGAGCACCGGAAGCCAAGCAGTGCTGGGAGTTTGGACTCTCAGGGTCAGCAGTTTCTGCGTGACCAGGTTCGTCACTTGGTCCGTCGCTTCACCGCCCGGGCCAACAAGGTCAAGTCCCGGATTGAGCTTCCACCGACCCCGTCGTCGAGCAGCACGGCCAGTTCACCATCACCGCCGCCGACCAAGAGCCTGCACCCGTCACCCGAGCACAAAGTGCGTCTGGTGCCGGCGGGTCAGTCGCCGCATCACCGCGGTAGACTCTTCGAGGCGGACACCACCAGGTCAAATGCCTGGCTCTGCTCCAGTCTGTGTGGAGCAAACAACGATGAGAGGACCCTGGATCCCCAGGGCAAGATCTACATCTCCTGGCTGTGTGTGGTCTCGCTGTCCTTCCTCTACAATGCCTGGGTCATCCCACTTCGCTCCTCCTTCCCCTTCCAGACCAAGGAGAACACCAACATCTGGCTGGCCTGTGACTTTTGTGCGGACATTATTTACCTCCTGGACGTGGTCTTCTTCAAGCATCGGGTCATGTATCTCTTCGAGGGCTTTTGGGTGAAGAACAAGAACCTGACCAGAAAGAACTATATGCGGAAGCTGCAGTTTAAGGTAAGGATTCGTATTTTCTTGCAGGAATATATGATTTTCTCGATTATTTTAAAATGTAATATGCCATTACCAAATCACATGAAATCATATGAAAGTTTCTTACTTAGTAGCGCTATTTAATATTAATTATTATCCATAACTTCTATAATAACCTCCAGCTGGATCTCTTGGCTCTTCTACCTCTGGAATTGCTATACCTAAAATTGGGAACGGGAGCTGTTTGGCTGAGATTTCCTCGTTTCTTCAAAATTCAGAGCTTCTGGGAAGTTTTTCGTCTGCTGGATCGGGTTATATCCTCACCACATTTCGTAGGTTTTCCTTACTGACTTTTAATTATTTATTTAAGTAAATAAAACCATTTTTATTCTTACAGGTTCGCGTGGCTAAAACCCTTACCTACATGCTCTACATGATCCACATAACGGCTGCCTTGTACTACGCGTACAGTGACTACCAGGGATTGGGCAAGAATCGTTGGGTCTTCAGTGGCAAGGGACATCCCTATGTTCGATGCTTCGCCTTTGCCACCAAGACGGCCACTTCGATAGGAAAGAATCCGAAGCCGGAAAGGCAGGGAGAGTATGTCTTCATGACGGTGGCCTGGCTGATGGGCGTCTTTGTGTTCGCTCTCCTCATTGGTCAGATTCGGGATATTATCTCCACGGCCACCAGGAATAAGCATGAGTATAGGCAGCTAGAGGATGAGACGCTGGAGTACATGCGGCGTCTCAATCTGTCGCAGGAAGTCCAATCCAGGGTCAAGATGTGGTTCCAGTTTACGTGGGAGCAGCAGCGAACCTTGGGTGAGATCGAATAATCCCTTTTAGAAGCACTTAAACTATAGTTTCTTTTACTCTTTTAGATGAATCCAACATCCTGGATGCCTTGCCTATTAACCTCAAGACCGACATTGCCATCTCCGTGCACATCCAGACCCTGTCCAAGGTCCAACTCTTTGCTGACTGCGAAGAGGCCTTGCTCCGTGATTTGGTGCTTAAACTTAGAGCCGTGACCTTTCTCCCGGGTGATTTTGTATGCCGTAAAGGCGAAGTCGGGCGTGAGATGTATATTGTAAAGCTTGGCCAAGTTCAGGTGATGGGTGGTCCCGGCAGCGACGTAGTCCTCGCCACCCTCACCGAAGGTTCGGTTTTCGGTGAGATCAGTTTGCTGGGCATTAATGGAGCTGATCGCCGGACGGCGGATGTGCGCTCCAAGGGTTATTCCAACTTGTTTGTTCTCTCCAAATCGGACCTGAACGAGGTCATCGCTTACTATCCCACGGCGCAGGCCATTCTCAAGAAGAGAGCGAGGCAATTAATGAGGAAAAATGCTGCACGCGAGCGGGAGGAAGAGCGAGAGCGAGCACGTAGTGCCCTCCAGGCGGATGTGGTCATTGGCAATCCCAAGACACCTGAGACGCCACCTAAATTATTACAAACAGTCATCCAGGCTCTACCCTATGAGTCGCCAGCAGTGGTCCTTATTACCCGTGGCTCAAAGAGGATGCGGCGTAAGCGTCAGTCCCTGCAGATGGAGACCATTGTGGAGCCCAAGATGGAGGTACTGGGAGCTAGAGCAGAGGAGTTGCAGGATCAGAAGAAAGCAGAGCATTGCCTAAAGCCAGGACGCTGTTCCCCCGACTTGCTCTCCTCCATACAGCAGGAGCTCAAGACCAAGCACAAGTTCATCAATCTGACGGACTCTGAGAAGGCGCTGATTAGTCAGTCGGCCAACAATTCGCTCGAGGACATGCAGGTAGTAGATCTGTAGGGATTCCATTCCAATTAATTGTATTTAATGTAAATGTTGTAACGAAAACCAATATTCTGCGATATATATAACAATTTTTGGCTTAACAATCATAAGGTTTCCAACTCACTGCCTGAGGGCAAGGCCTTTAGCACCGCTTCCACTATTGTGGGGACCTCTGCCATGGCCCCATTGCCTGTATCCCCGCACATTAGGGTTTTGCTGATGCAGGGTATTTCCTTGTAGCCCCAACTTATGAGCTTGTCGATCTGCTCTCTGGTTATGGGATGCTCGTACATCCGAGTGTTCATCGCGGGGGCAAAGAGCAGGGGCTTCTGCAGATCCCAAGCCCGCACTACGCACATCACGAAATTATCGCAGATCCCCTGTCATAAAAAAGATACATAAATAGTTACCACAGAGATAAGAGATATTTCACAAGAGCCTTGCGACTTACGTTGGCTATTTTGGACAGGGAATTGGCACTGAGCGGGGCAATCACCAGCATATCCGCCCACTTGCCCAGGTCTATGTGTAGCACAGGATCGCCTCGTTTGTTCCAGGTGATCCATTCATCGCGATTGTGGTAAATGGGAACTACAACCATAAGAGATACTTGTATTACAACTTGCAGAACTAGTAATAGCCCTCAGAAAACCCACCATTTTCCGGTATCTGCTCCAATTCAAAAAAGTGCTTAGCCGCCTCAGTAATCAGAACTTTCAGGTGAAACTTGTAGGGCAGACGCTCGTCGGAGAGCTCTTGGATTAACTGTGCTAGCTTAATGGTGGCCACGCTCCCCGTGGCCGCTATCATCACATTGCGTTCCGGTTTCATGGTGACTCCAACTCCTAGTGTTTCTCCTCCTCCTCCTTGGCTGGCTTCTGATCGTGAAATCCCAACTTGGACCAATCTGTTTTCTCCATAAGATTATTGTCCATGCGGCAGGCCAGATAGTTCTTGGCGTCCTCGCGGCACAGACTCGTATCCTGGGCGTTCTTCCGGAGGCAACTGGCGTAGAGGAGGAACTGTTTCTTGCAAAGCCCCTCGTGATCCAAGGGAAAGGAACCCTTCTCGGGCGGCGTGGGCACGAACTTCTTCTGGTTGTAGATCTGTGAAGTCATTGGAAGGGGTATGCCGGCAGCTGCTCGTCGGCTTATCTTAATTCATTGATAAAATATGGCCTTTATAATTACGAAATAAAATGAGTTGAATAAACACAGTGCCGGGCGGAGAGTGTGACCAAAGTTTAGAATGCAATTCGTTAATACTGAATACCGAAAACAGTGACTTACTGGTCAATAAAATACTCAAAAGAGAAAGTCTTTGGCCAATTAAGCTTAATTATTGAGGATATTAACTAAATAGCTCTTCGTAATGGCAATAATTAAATGTTATGTTATTTCAGAACATATTGTGTAGCTTTCTTGTCCAGTTTTAGTTAGTTTTGGTTTGCGTTTCGATCATGATATCAAATCTTTTCAACTGGGCGGCTTTTGGCATTCACTTTGCAATGACATGTACAATGTTTCCAGAGTATCTGGAGTGTTTATCGTATTGCATAAAGTTTGGTATTGAATTATTTACAAATATACAATATTTAATAACAAAATTAATAATCTAAAAATATGTTAAAGATTCTTGGAAGACATCTACAACTCAGAACATTACACTATATTTGGCCTGCTCGGCTTTCTACGGCATCAGCGGATTTCTGTGGGTTTTGGTTAATTTCCGGGTTCGTATTGAAATTGCTCTTGTAATATTATGATATAATTCTAATTTTTTACAGGAATACCATATTCTCTACCTTTGGTTAATAGTTACTGCTCAGCTTATTGGGCTTACATTCGCCTTTTTGGGCTATGCTCACAAGTTTGTGGGTTATTCATTTTGGAAACAGTCCCTTTTATATCCAGGTAGTTTCTATAAAGGATTCAAATCTTATTAAAATTAATTATTTTTAATATTCAAGGTTTTTTGGTCATTAGTTTCATCTTAGTTTTAATGCACTTGCTGGTGGCTAAGGATGTTATAAGAAATCGATGGATCAAGGGGTTTATAGTTGGTTGTATGGTGATATCTGGTAAAATTGAATAAGAATAAATAATTTAATATTTAATTTTTAATATTTTGTAGAGTAAAAGTAGTAAAATATTGCAGTATTTTTGCCTCCAACTGAGCAGGCTTTGCATTTTCAGTTTGCGTTTAATAAACTTTCATTAAAATATTTGCTTAAATTCTGGCTTTAATTTTACGAGAGGAAACCTTTTTAAACAACAATGGCTCCACCCCAAATTAATTCTGCCGCCGACCAGGCCAAATTACAGCTAATGCAAGAGATGGAGGTGAAGACGATGTCCGATCTATATTATCGCATGGCAAATGCTTGCCATAAGAAGTGTATTCCCTCCCGCTATCCCGAACCAGAGTTGGGTGAGTTTCAGGTGGATATAGTGATTAATAGAACCCAAACAGATCAATTTAATACGAAGCTCTAAGCTTATGTTAATTATGTTTCCAGTTTCCCTATAATTTCACATGCTTTCTCCCACTTTCCAGGCAAAGGCGAGATCGTGTGCATTGATCACTGCGTTGCCAAGTTCCTGCACATTCACGAGCGGATTGGCAAGAATCTCTTGACCGTTTACATGCCTCAGGAGGTGAAGAACGATGCCAGTTAACTCTGGGATTTCCACAAGATTATGTTTAAAACTTAAAACATTTAAAGAGAATAAACCGCAGATTTATGAGAGCAGCCACATCATAATACAATTTCCCTCAGAAGGTGGTGACAAATCGCGACATCTCCGGCAGCATGACGCTCAGGTCCTCGATGTTAGCCTCCAGACCGCTGTCGTCCGTAGTGTCCAGCTCGCTGGTTCGCACGCTATTCTCCCAGTCGGAGGAGTCGTCGCCTCGTGCCTGTTCCTCCTGGTGCTCCCGGCTATTGAGGCTCGTGCGGCTGGAAGTGCAATCGCAGGCGATATCTTCCTGATTAGGTGGTGGGTCCACATACAGGTTGGTCTGCCGCTGTGATGGGAAAGGGAACACTTAGAATTTTTTACAAATTAATCAGTAATCTGAAGGACTCACCAGCGCCATCAGCTGCAGGTCGGAATGGTGGCCAATTGGGTTCTGGGAAAGATTCAGCATGTTCAGCGTTCGCAACTCCTCCAGCTGGGCTCTCGTAGGCAGTTCATCGATGCAATTCCCATTGAGAAAAACAAATCGAAGCTTTTGCATGGCCATCAGCATCCTGGGCAGCCGCCTCAGCCGATTTCCTTTCAGATTCAGATGCACCAGGCTGCCCAGCAAGGCGACTGTCAGAGGCAATTCCTCTAGCTCACAGTTCTCGGCAGTGAACCAGCGGAGCGAGGAGAGGGCACCAATAGACTCGGGCAGTTTCTTCAGGGGATTTCCGCGCACTCCCAGCGTTTCGAGGCGTTCACAGTTTCGTATTTCTACGGGCAGTTCCAGGAGTCCGGTATTATTGCACCAAAAGGTCTCTAGAAGCGTCAGGTAACCCAGTTCCGGGGGCAAACGAACGATGTTGTTGCAGCTAACATTGAGGAACTTCAAACTGACCAGCCGGCAAATGCAGATGGGAAACTCATCCAGCTTATTGTAGTCGAGGGTAAGCACTTGAAGGCGAACTAGATTGCCAATGCTAGAGGGGATCTGTAAGGGGGAAATGGTATTAAAAACCCCTTCTATATACTTATTTCCCCCAACCTTGGTCAGCTTGTTTTGGTTGAGAAATAGCTTTAGCAGCGTCTCACACTGCTCTATGATGTCCGGCACCTGGGACATCTGGTAGTGGGACAAGTTCAAGGAGAAGGCCTTCTTGTAGATGGCGTCCTCACAATTGGCCAGCACGTAGTTGTTGCGAAAGAATTGGCATATCTTCTCCATGTTTTTTCAAACTAGAATTTAGCTAGTTAACCGAAAAATCCAAAATCAACAACAGATTTTAAAAAACTCACTATGTTTTTTGGGGGGAAAAATGTTTTCTGTGCTCTCCCACGTCTTTTTTTCGTTTTGTTTTGATTGCAGATTATATAAGCCATAATGAGAGTGGTTCTCAATATATATAGATCTTGCCATATATTGCACTCTTTGTTGGCCTTTCTCTTAGGAGAAGAATTCTTCCCAAAAAGCTAGTGGACTAATTTTAAAAATTGCATTGGCTGTAGGTATTTTTGGGTGCTCTTGTGCTTATTTTCTTTAGAAAACACTTTCCCCGATTTTAATTGGAACAGTGTCTGTGTAAGTGCATATAGAAAAGCTTCGTTCTCTTATAAGATTCCAAGTGATCTCTCCCCGTTCTCTGGACTCTGTTAATTGGCAAAAGCTTGGGTTTCGCCCGGGTTTGAATAAATAGATTTTGAATAACAAAGGCAGCTCTCAGTTGAGGTCGAGCTCGGGAACTGGAAACTGCATCATGCGCTTGATAATTGTGCTTGTTTGTATAGCGTTCGCCGGTAAGTTACGCTTGGCAACTTGTAGAACTCACTGAACTCTCTTCTCCCACAATGAAGCCGCAAATGCGCAGCAGAATTACGATGGGCGGAACGGCCCACATACGTTCGGGCAGCCGGGAAATGGCATTTACATTCGGGGCCAGAACGAAGGACCTTATCAGGTGCCAGGCGTGGGCGGTACCTTCCAGAACTCACCCTCCAGCGGTGGACATGTTTACACGGATGAGCAGGGTAACACCTACTCACACCACTCGTCGACGTCATATACCAGTAATTTGGCGCCTACACCGGTGAGCTTGAGCTTGGGCGGTGTTTTATTAGTTCTTATGAGTTTAATCACACTATAAAGTGAATGTACAGATTTGAATAAGTGATTAAACTCTTCTTAATTGAATTTATATTCGAAAAAATAATCAATTTATGCTGCTAAATAAACTAAACAATATACGTTTTTATATCTTTATTGTTAATTTCAAAGAAATTTATATTAAAGTCTTAAAATATAACATAAAAGGTATTTTTCTACTTAAATTATAATAAACAAATTAATATTCAAGCCATTAAAAGTGTTTTTCGACTTAAGTTATAATAAAACCTTTTCAATAACCGTTAACAAACAAATAAGGCTTTGCACCTTGTTAAAATATATAGAAATAATATAATTAAGTGGAATATCATGAATTAAAATTTAAAAAAAGCTTAAAACTTTCCAACCTCCATTTTCTTATTTTTTTCCCCTGGTCTGGCAACTCTCCCCCTCATTTCTCTTTCCATCGTCGCGTTTGCCTAGGGATTTTTCGAACTACGTAAAATGGTCACACTTGCTCAAGCTGCATTATTTTTACTACGAAATTAAATTCGAGATAAATGCTAAAATATCCGTAAATAGTTGCCGCTCGCGTCAAGTGTGCAACCGTTAAGCCAATCCCATTGAAGTGAGAGATCCCCAGCAGTTGGCAGAGACCTCAAACCAGCAGCAGCATGGACCAAATGCTCAGCCCCAACTTCTCGATTCCGAGTATCGGAACTCCGCTGCACCAGATGGAGGCGGACCAGCAGATCGTGGCTAATCCAGTCTACCATCCGCCGGCAGTGCCGCAGCCAGATCCGGTGATGCCTGCGCCTGTGTCTTCAGCAGGGCAGCAGCAGCAGCAACAACAACAGCAGCAACAGGCAGATGCCGGCGGAGCAGCAAGCGGCAGCGGTGGTAGCGGGCTTTTTGGCCACGAGCCATCGTTGCCGCTGGCCCACAAGCAGATGCAGAGCTACCAGCCCTCTGCCTCCTATCAGCAGCAGCAGCCGGGAGGGGGCGGTAGCACACCGCAGTCTATGATGCAGCCACAGACGCCGCAGAGCATGATGTCGCACATGATGCCCATGAGTGAGCGCAGCGTGGGCGGCAGCGGCACAGGAGTCGGGTCAGGCGCAGGCGATGCTCTTAGCAACATTCACCAGACCATGGGTCCATCCACACCGATGACACCGGCCACGCCGGGATCCGCGGATCCCGGAATTGTGCCACAGCTGCAGAACATTGTGTCCACAGTGAATCTCTGCTGCAAACTGGACCTCAAAAAGATAGCGCTACATGCGAGGAATGCCGAGTATAACCCCAAGCGATTTGCGGCCGTCATTATGCGTATTCGAGAGCCGCGCACCACTGCCCTAATTTTCAGCTCCGGAAAGATGGTGTGCACGGGAGCCAAGAGCGAGGATGACTCCAGGCTGGCGGCGCGAAAGTACGCCCGCATTATACAGAAGCTGGGATTCAATGTGAGATTGTGATCCTTGCCTTACTTAAGCTTATTTTTAACACTCTCGCTTTCTAGGCCAAGTTCCTTGATTTTAAAATACAAAACATGGTCGGCTCCTGCGACGTCAAGTTCCCCATTCGCCTGGAGGGCCTAGTCCTCACGCATTGCAACTTCAGTAGCTACGAGCCGGAGCTCTTCCCTGGCCTCATCTACCGTATGGTGCGTCCTCGCATAGTGCTGCTTATCTTCGTGTCCGGCAAGGTGGTGCTCACCGGCGCCAAGGTTCGCCAGGAGATCTACGATGCCTTCGACAAGATATTCCCCATATTGAAGAAGTTCAAGAAGCAGTCATAGAAATAGAATTTAGCACTTTATTAGTTTTTGTAATGCCTACGTTTAGGGTTTCTTTAGTTCCGTAAGCGACGAGTGTCTGATAGCGGGAGCAGAATAAAACAAAGTAGTTAGCTGTAAGTAGACTACAGGCTCTTTATTTTGTTGTGTTAATTACTATTCGTAGAAATTTAGACAGGACTAAGGACACGGCTCGCGACACGCTCTACAGACACTGGGCCATCAGGGCGCCAACATTGTCGAATTCAATCTTCTCCGTAATGTTCTTCGTCTTGATCTTGTCGTCCTGCATGGCTACCACCACGAGACCCTGGCCTTGGTGCTTCCACCCATTGCGCTTGATCCAGCTCTCCAGCGTCGAGTCCTCGATGCCGCCAAGCAGCTCCTTCAGCAAGTCCTTGCGGATCGTTTGGAAGGTGGTGCCCACCACATGCGACACAAACTTGCGGATCGAATCATTGAAACCGGAGATGTGGCGGAACATGTTGCGGTTCACATCGGCGCGCTGCCAGAACAGGGTGAAGTCAGCTCGCTCCAGGATGTCGGCCAGATCGATAATGGTCTGCACATTCTCATCCTTCATCTGCTGGGGCAGCAGCAGGCACTTGGCCATCACAAAGTCCGTGTGCGGCAGGTTGGTCAGACACTTCAGCAGGATGGTGTAGGTGATGTCGAAGTTGAGCATGTGCGGGTTGAACTGGTAGAGCTTCAGCACGGCCAGATTGGCCTCCAGGTCGTAGGTGTTGTTCTTGGCCTGGTCCTGGACATACGCCTCCAGTGTCTTCAGATGATCCGGGTTGTACCTGAGCGTTCCAGGGAGGAAAGAGAGGTTATGTTTTTGTGATGAATGTAAGGAAAAGAGTTCCGTTTGATACTCACCGCTCGATGCAGCCCAGCATCTCCTGAATGGTCTGGCTCTGTCCGTTTTCCATTTTCACAAGGTGCGACATGTTTTACAGCGAAATTGTTTCGAATTCGCAAGTTGCCGTCGTGTTTTTCTAAGAACGCCGTTTTACAAAGACCGTATCACGCCCTAAAAAATACCAATGAAAACAAACGGGGAACGGTCACACAGTGCGAGTAAAACAATTACTTTTATTCGGACTTTTGTGTGATATTTAAGCAGCAAAATCACTTTATTGTACTTTATAATTACGTATTTAATGCTTAAACAAATAAATTAATTTTATAAGGTCTGATTTTAAAATTACCCAAGAATTAAATTTATTTAATACCAAACACCCACCCAAAAAAACTATTTCAGTATTCTTTGTCATCGATATAGATTTATCGGTTTTCAAACATTTCAAACACAAACTGCGGTTATTTTTAGTGGAAGTTTAATGATTTCAATTACACATTGAATCATGTTTTCATGTTCAAAGGAAGTTCTGTTCCATTTTGCTTAACCTGGAAGTTCATGTGGAAGTGCATGGTGTTTGTGGAATCTACATGGTTTTTTTGTACAAAATTATGTACACAATATATGGTATAAAAAGCAACTTAGTTATATCCGGGATCGGAGGACTATGTCTTGGCCGCCTCGGCATCGCCGTTCTTCGCCTCCTCCGCCAGCTTGGCTTGGCGCTGCTCCTCCTCCAGCTCCAAACGTTCTACCTTTTTAATTTTGCTCAGTTTTTCTGAAAAGAAAATGGTGTTTAGCTTACGATCTTTGATTTAAAGAGAAGGAGATAATCCAAACTTACTTGCACATCTTAGCATTATGGTGCCCCACCAGATGGACCAGCCCCAGCCAACGAAGCAGAAGAGGACGCAGAAGAACTGGGATACGGCCACAATGATGTTGATAATGAAGGATCCAATCCTGGCCCGGGCGCTGTCGAACTGAGAGAAACGTGGAATGCCCACGCACAGGCAAAATAGTCCCGAAAGAAGGGTTCCTGTGTGGGAAATCATTATCGAAGTTATAATCTGAAATATGTTAAAAAAAAACCCACCTAATCCTGGAAAGACCACGTTGCAGAAGGCACAAAACCACGCCAAATACAGCGGCAGCACTGGAATGGCTCCCTTCATCTTGGACGTGTACTCCACCAGGTCGTTGTGCAGCTTCTTACGGGTATCCTGTGCATTACAAAATTGAATTATTAATATAAAATAGGACTTAATGAAGCCATGAAGCACTTGCCTCGCTCGGTGGCGGGGCCTTGATGCTTTGCCTCCGTGCATTCGACTCGCGACGTTTCTTCTTGCGACAGCACAGGAGCATCAGCCAGAAACGCTTGCAGCAGCCCCTGAAATTAAGGTTAATATCAGTCCATTTACATAAATCCCTATTGATTCCACTTACTCCTTAGCCTGGTTATCCATTGCACTTGTGGCTGTTGACATGGCCGCCTCGGAGGCGCCTTCCACCACCGACGACTCGGTGGGCTTGATGCCCATCTCCGGATCCTGATCGCGCCAGGACACGGTGCTGCCCTTCTTGTTGGGCCTGCTGCCGCCCCGACGACACGGAATGCAGAAGCAGCACCTGTTCAGCTCCGTCTCATCGCCTGTGGTGGGATCCACCTTGTTAACCGACCGACAGCAGAACACCTTGCTCAGGCAGAGGCCGCACTTGCTGCGTGGCTTTGGTCCCATTGTACTACTAATGTTGGTCTCCTGTTTCTGCTTCTTCGCCTTTGCCTCTGTCTCGACAGGATCAGGCTCCTCCTCTACACTAGTCACTGGCTTCTTGCGACAGCTCCGACAACAGCTGGATTTGAGCCAGTCAGTGACTCGCTTCTTTCCCTTCGGCTTGGTCTCGTCAATCACTTGGACATTGGTGGCTGTGGTGGCACTGCTGTTGCCGCTCCAGAGGACAGGTTGGTTCTCGGCGGACTGATTTCGGTCACGGTTCCGCATGCAGCAACGGGAGCATCGGGACCGGCGACAGGGCATAAAGAGGGTGGAGCAGCAACCACACAGGCCTCCACGCTTCTTGACATTGTTGTTGTCCTTCTCCTCAAGGAACTCCTGACTGCTGCTCCTGGGGTAAAGGGGAAATCGAGAGGAAACGCATTGAAAGGAGTATGATCTCTATGAGGAAGATTAGAAACTCCAATTTATAAAAATCGGACGACTACATATACCATAAGATATTGTATATTTAGAAAGCCATAAATGCATTATATTTCGATCAGACATGGCTAGATCGACTCAGTTTTTTATGCTGATCAAGAATATATATAGTTTATAGGGTCGAAAATGACTCCTTCGCAGTTTTATTGACTAAAATTGCAACAACCTGCAAGGTAACCTGTTAATGAGAATTCGACTCCATATGTAAACGTGTATAACAGCTCTGTAAACGCGTCAAATGTAAACTGTAAGTTCACCATTGTAGGATGTGAATTGTTCATTAACAGAAAAATTGTCGATCGGTCCACACGCAGCTCCGTGAAAAAATTGCGAAAAAATTGTGAAAAGCGGGAAAACGGTCGGAAAAACTGACGATTGCAGGGATATTCGCGAGTTAAGTGTGCCGCCGTGAAAAACCACCCCTCGGGGCCTCGGAATCCGATCAATTTATGAAGAAATCCGTAGTGAAAGCCGCAATATGCAAGTCCGTGTTGTGTATGCTTTGCAAGATCCTCCGTTATTTTGTGTTTGCTTGTGTTTTTTGTTTTGCGTAGCGAGAAAAAAGGGGCAAGTGAAAAATACCAAATGTGCCAGCTTATAACAAGTCCCGTTAAAGTCTCTGTTTCGTATTTGTTTGTTTGTTTTTTGTTTTTTATTGTGGTTCAACACGAATATTTTATCTGGCCTTAATTATTTTGGTGTAAATGTGCTTTGTGGAGCAACAAGCAACAGTGCTGGACTTTTGCAAGGAGAGAGAGAGAGAGAAAGACTGCCCGCAAAAACAATATGGTGAGTGACGATCATGCATTGCTTTTTATGTCCTCTTCTTTATTTGCGTCTTCTTTTTTACGACGTCACAGACTTTGCCGTTATGTTTTATGTCTGTTATAATTGTCGATTGATAATGATTGATTCATATTGAATTTTTATTAATTTTATTTAGTGTTTCTCTTCATTTAACCAAAATGCAAACCACAAAGGGTAGGCACACTTCGGCATACCGAAGATAGCTTGTTTATTGTTTGTTTTTAAGGAGTTCCTTCAACACTTATGACAAGGTGAAGACTTAACTTAAAGCCAAGGCTTTGCCACTGTCCTTGACTGTCCGCAAAGACCGGATATAAGCTTTTATGGCTTTGAGGGATTGGCTAGGTGCCAAGCACCGGAAGTGCTATATGATTGGAAAGTTCAGGTCAAGCCTCGCTGTGTGTGTGGGATGGTCTACCTTTCACACTTGGCTTATAATCACCTTCGGAAGTCAATTACCCAGGATGGATTACACTCATGTAAACCATTATCCGGGATGTACCTCCTGCAATATGCATTATGCATTAGCGTGTGCACTTTGCCACATCTCTTGGCATTTGAACTTTCATCTTGGCATAATGAAGTTGGAGGTTTCGGGTCGATTTTGAATATAGCAACAACCCGAACGGGGGGAAGGAACCCATACAAAAATATGTCACGAGACGTGGGACGGCTTTTCGGACGCTTACACAATTTCTTGATGGGTCCATGTGTTCACGTGTATATAATATATAGGTTGTGGCACTCCGTAGTTCCGTTCCGTGTGCACACGAGCCAACGACCAAACGCAATTTGGAGGTCGGCACTTTATATATTTGACCTGCGACTCCAACTGAGACAGTGGAGGAGCTCTGGGTTCACCCAGAAGTTAGGCCTAAGAAGGTCAGGCTACACTCGGAGATGATGACTCTCGGCGATAAGCTATAATGGAATCTCGTGCCTTAATTACCTAAAGAAGTACTTGTCGCCATCGATGAACGGGTCCTGGGCCAGATCCACCGTGTAAATGACCGAATTCTTGGGCGTTCCATTCAGCATTTCGAAATGCGCAAATTATCCGAATTAACCGAAAGAGTATTTCAAGTATTTCGTATTAATTACTGGCAAATCATCGACACTAACTGACTCTGACTCCCGAGGAGTTTCCCCAAACAACTTTCCGTGGGATTTCCCTGGCGCGCTGCGGTTGGCGCGATTGTCCGGCCCAAACTGATTTGTTATTGCGGCATACGAAACTTAAGCCGTGTGTTTTTTGCGAAAAATACTTTTCTTCTGTTTTCCGCGCACGCTATACTGTACACAGTGGGGACTCTCTTGGGAGGACTCTATCCTCTTAGGGGGAATTCCCTTGGCGTCTTGGGAAGACCACACTGTAACTGGTCGCTCGCACGCTTCGAAAAACAATGCATTGAAGGACATCGTTACCTTCGCCGACTCTGCTTCGCGACCTGGCGAACCGACCGACCACCAAGACGACCACGACGACAGGCCAGCGAACGGATTTCCTTAAAGGAGGTCTCCTGCCCCTTTAGCTCCACCTCGTCCTCCTCCGTCGTCGGGTTGGGCTCAAAATTTATTGACGCACTTATGAGTGGCTTGACGGACCTGTGCCTGGCTCTGGCACGGAACTCCAGCCCACACGGCGCTGTAAAGTTTTATGTATCATAGTTGTTGTTCTAGGACTCACCCCAAGTCCAGCCCCTCTACCCATTCCTCGAGGAGTTTCCTGTATGTAAATTGGCTGGCCAGGCCTAGGCAATCCTTGGCTGGGGCCTGGTGGAGACTCCTTAGGGTCGAGGCAAAATGTTAGTATTACGAGTCCTTACTAGTTAGCATTCGAATTCGAGTTCTTGGGCTGACCTGCTACCCGGACAGACGTTTGAATGATGAATATTCATAATGGTCATAGGGGACATGAGGACATTAGGACACATTAAAGGCTTCCTTGGGGACAAAAACAGAGCAGGGTTCTCAAGGATTCTTTTTAGCAAAGTTCTCTAAATACAGTTAGTACTTGGAGTTTCAACAACTTTCATGGTTTGGGGAATGTTAGACACTAACCTTTAAAATTAATTTATTTTTTTACATTTTAAATTGAGTATGTAGATTTATTATCCTGATAAAAACTAACATAGGAATGCATTCTGAATTGAATTTAATGCATTTTTGGGTTAGTTATGCATTTTTTAAGCTTTAATTTGTCGAAAAAATTGTGCTAAAAATATAGATAAATATTAACTGAAAGAATGGTATTCCAATTTTAGTTAGAAGCCTGTTACGACATGAAGGAGTCGTTTCCGACCCTATAAATTATATATATTCTTGATCAGCACGATCAGCCGAGTCGATTAAGCCATCTCCGACCAAAATAATTTTTTTTCAAAATTTTCGAAATTTTTATAAGGGATTATTACATCGTTAAAATTGTCAAAAATTCGGAAAAAAAAATGGAATCTCACCAAATGTTAAACTGAATATGCAGATTTATTAACCTGATAAAAACTAACATAGGATTGCATTCCGAATTAAAATGAATCCATTTTTGGCTTAGTTATGAGTTTTTTAAACTTTTTTTGGTCGTAAAAAATGTGGTATAAATATATAAATAAATATTTACTCAAAGAATGGTTCCTAGTCAAAATTATATAGATAATAGGTTTAGGTTCTGTTTAGAATAAGCTATATATTTCTTACCAGATTTCTGCTTATATTTTAATAATCCCCATAAATAATAATACTCACTTGACCATGCCGCCGCTTCCTGCTGCTGATCCACCCTGTCCGTCCGGCGATCGCCGCTTGGCATCCACCTTGAAGTCCGCTCCACTCTCAGGTGTGGGCATAACATCATGCCCTTCGCCCAGTTCCGACTCGGAAGCATCTAGTGGCGCGGGAATATCCGAGCTCTCGCATTCCACCTCCGGGACACTGGCTATCCGCTCTGCGGAGCTCTCGTTGGGATGGAGCACCGAAACCGATGCCTCGATGGGTTGCGTTGGTGGAAACGGTGACTTGGGCTGTTCTCCCGAGCTCTGGGGTGCAATACTGCCATCGGCTGTGCCGGTTCGAGAGGCGGATTCACCCGGTCTGGCCACTATGGTGGTCGAGCTGGGCGTGGGTGAGGGATCGGCATTCAATCGGTCATTCTCCAGGCTCTTCAAATCGGTGAGATTTTCGCTGATGGTTTTGTGGATCTCGTCGGTGGCCTCGGTTACGGTCTTTTGGATGGTCTCCAGTGTCTTTTGTGATTTTTCGAGAATGGCAGCGGCATCGTTAGACATGGGTAGGGAGCTGTGTCCTCCAGTATCTGGAAGGGAAGACGGGGATTAACAGGGGTTTGGGTTGGCATACAGTGTAACCTACCTTCGCTTTCGTTGGCATGTTCCGGCAGAGTGGCCACCTTCCTGCTCTGCGGTGAATCCGATCGGTTCTTGTTGCTCAGTAAGCTCAGTCTGGAGCTCATCCGCACCAGCTTGGACATATTGGCTCCGCCAGATGCCTTGCCACCTGGCGTAGAGGGTACATTTACCTCGCTGGTAACCGCCGGAACAGCTTCCACCGCCTGGAGCACTGCGTTGCCCACTTGGGCGGCCAATGGAGGTATGTCTCCTACGGGATTGGAACCATTTCCTGGTCCCTTCTCCAGAGTGATTCCGTGGGCTTTGCTGGCAGCGGGTTTCTTGCTTTCCTGTGTTGTTCCTCCACCGGGCTTAGCCTTGTTCATTTGGGCTTTGGTCCTGGCTGCAGCAATGGGTTCCTTGCCATTGGCTTTGGCTGCCGGTTTACCCTTCTCCTTATCCTTTTCTTTGCCCTTCTCTGTTTTGGTATCCTTCGTGGCAGTTCCCTTGCTGGGTGGCTTTTTTCCATTTGCCGCTGCCTTGACTCCTGGCCCATCTTTCTTGGCAGGCTTCGCTGGTGTCTTTGCTAAGGACTCCTTCTGGGACTTGGGTTTGGCACTTGCAGGGATCTTGGGCTTCGCTTTGGGGCTTCCCTTGGAGGCTGAAGCCATCGCCGCTCTACCAGTTCTAGGCGTCGTGGCCTGTGACTTGGTTTTCTCCGGTGATTTCGATCTCTTCTTGGAGGAAGTCGGCGGGGATTTGGACGCAGCCTTGACCTGGGATGATGATCTGGTGGGAATGCGGGAGCGAGAGTTCCTTCGTGACAGAATCTCCGGCGGAGGCTCCGCCTTGCCAGTGCGACTGGAAGACCTTCGGGAGGGGCCCAAGGCAGCTGGACTAATGGACTTCCGACGATCCATCCTGCCAGTACTCGTGGGACTCAAGGAGATGGACTTCCGGCGGCCGGGCGTTGTGGAACGCAGACTCCTGTTTCTGGCCATAGCTGTGGCGGGCGAAATGCTAGAGGATCGCAGCGAAGAGGAGTTGATGCTCAGGCGGGAATTGGCTCGCGAATTACCACGTGAATTGGACATATCCTGCCGGGAGCTGGACATCTCCAAGCGGGAACTGGATGCCAGATCCAAACGAGAACCCGGCCTCGATGCGGGGCCCCTGGAAGCGGAGCGAGAGTCTAATCCCAGTCTTCCGCTCTCCCGCGATGGCGTCCTGCTAGGATTCATTGATCTCGAAGGAGACCTGCTGCTCAAGCCTCGCGAGGGTGACCTGCCGATGCTTGCCCGGGAACTCCTTCCCGAGGCCGTAATGCCCAAGTCCTTGAGCGGTGAACTAGACCGAGATTCAGGACTCTTTCGCACCGGAATCCTTGAAAGCGAATCCCGACGCGTCGTGGAAACCTCCGATTGGGTGTCTATGGTGCCGCCCATCAACGATGACCTGTGGGTGGGACTTTGCGCCGAGCTGCTGTCCTTGTTGGGAGTCCCTATGATGGGCGACAACGTGCTGGGCTTGGCCACCTTCCCATGATCCCGCTGATAGATTGACTGTCTCCTGGGACTGAAGCTGGGAATCCTGTTGGGAATCCTATTGGGACTCGGCGCCTGCACCGACTTGCGACGCATCCGGGATAGAGTCTGGGAAGCTGGCAGTGTGGAGAGCGTGGGTCTGCGGAAGCTAAAGTCCGAGGTGGTGGCAGTGACGCTGCTCAGGTTGGAGCTTCTCCGATCCGAGGCGGTTTGCGTAGAACTGCGACGTTCAGGTGAAGTGGAGCTGGAGCGACGTCGTCCTTGGAAACCCTGGGTCTTCGTCGCCTGACTGCTCCCAGCGTCGAAGGAGGGCCTACTCAGGTCGTCCAGGCTGACCCAATTCGAGCGAGGTGTAGGTGGCAGCCGGAGACGAGATCCTAGCGGCTCCTCCTTGTTGATAATCTTCAGCAGGCCGCGCTGCCTTCGCGTGGGATTCAGATTTGGCTTCAGGGGACGCGGCAGTGCTCCGGGCGGAAAGACAGCCGGCTCCGGGCCGCCCAGTTCCATGTGGGAGCCATAGTGCAAGCGGGGAATGGAGCTGCTGCGATAGGGATCCATAATCTGGGGCAGGGCCTCTAAGCTCTTGATTTTCTGGCCCAGGCTGGTGGTTGATCCTCGCCTGCGCTGATCTCGCGGCGTGAAGGTGTCCATGGAGGAGGTCAGCGAGTCGCGTTGCTGCAGGATTCCCTTTTGGGGTGTGGCCAGCTTACTCCTGCTGAGCCGGCCGCTCATATTGAACTGTACCGAGGGTCGTGGGGAATCATCCGTGGTCGGCTGGTGGTGATGATGGAAGCCCAGCTCGGGAAGGCGCGGATCTGCAGCTGGAAAGACTGATCTCCGGCGAGGACTGGCCTGCGGCCTGGTCGCTCCTGCCGGCGATGAGGTAGTCGTCGTCGATGTCGACTGGATGGAGGCGTGTCGCCTTGTGGCGGCAGCTGGCCTCTGAGTTGCCGTCGCCGCTGGCTGACCCGAGGAGAGAATGGTGAAAGCAGTCTTCTTGTGGGTCCGCGGTTGGTCCACTCTAGAAGGCATAAGAATTAAAAGTAAAGATCTGTTAAACTTCGTCAAAGAATTTCTCACCTGTAGTCCCCTCCCATGGGTATGGAATCCCTGATGATGATAGGCGACATGGATCTCTTCAAGCTGTGATCATCGCTCTGATCCTGCGTCGTCCTGTGACAATGAGGAGGCGGAGCAGTTGGCGGTGAAGGTAGGCCATAGTCCCCCAGGCGTTGCCTGTGACACTGACCCATTTCCCGGCCCATCTGCTCCTCCAAATATTGCAATGGGGAGAGGACTACGTCCTTTGGGACTGAAACCTTCTCCTTGGCAGAAGTGGGAGCCGCAACACGCTCCTCCCCGCCGCTGCTGGAGCTATTCATATCCTGGATCATGGTGGCCAAAGGGGAGAGAGGACCCTCGTCCTGCTTCATGGACATAATCATCTTGGAGCTGGGCCGCAGTCGGGGAATGCGCGTGAACTCGGGAAAGTGCTGTGGCGCTGGACGGAACCAATCCCGGCTGGAGTAGGAATCACTGAGCAGGCTAAGGATAGATCAGAGATTAGAGATTAAGGGTTAAGGATCTTGATTCCATCTCACCCCCTGTGATCCTCTGTATTAATGCTGGACACACTCATCTTGGCTGTAGTTTCCTGCCGACTGGGACTCCTTGCCGACTCCTCTCCATCCCTCTCATCCTGAAAGGACAGCCTTTGACCCACCACAGTGTACTCCTCCTCGATGTCATTCTCCAGGTCGTAAATGTCCGGTTTGTTGAGAATATCATCGGGGGCCAGGAGCAGGTAATTGGGTGAGCCTAATTGCTCGGTACTGGAGCCACCGCTAGAGTTGGGCAGGATTTGGATATCGGGTGGCTGAAGATGCGGCAGCATTGATCCCCTTGGTGTTGTCCTCGTGTAGGGAACGCTCGGAAAGATGCGCTCCCTGGCACCGGGAATCAAGGCATTCAGCGCCATGGCAGCCACTAGGGCATCCTCCTCGGAACTGGGCACCTCCACCGAACCCATTCGCAGCGTCTCAAAGGCCGCCGAACCGAAGTAGTCATCGGAGTGGAGGTGAGACGACGGTGGCGGCACCGGGTCACCGAACAAGCTGCTGTACGCTTGGGGATCCGCCTCGGACTCGGGCTGACGGACACCGAAGCTCTGGAGGCTGGAGGCGAACGTGGAGGGGGCCATCGAGTGGCCGGAGAGCAGGGAGTGGGTGCGATAGCTATAGTCCACCGGGATCACAGCCGGCTGGAGGCGGCCACTGCCAGTGGATCGGGGACGGGCACGGGGACTTGGTTGCGGTGTCGGGATCAGATTGGGCGTCGGTTTGGGATTGGAGCTCGGTGGTGCTTCTCCTGCTCCTGGCGTGGGCATCGGGAGGGCATCGGGGGATGGCGATGGCGTTGATGATGATGATGAGTACGAGAGGGTCTGCTGCATGGCTTGACATTGGTGCTAACCGTTTTCCGGCCCTCCTGCGTTCACTACGATTTACTTTCCATTTTCCTGTTTTGTTTTTGGTTCTATAGTCTGTTCACGAAAATCCACGCAGGATCTGGCGTTTCGTTGTCCTTCGGCTCAGTTCAAGTGCCACACAAAACCAATGACGCCCGGAACTGTTTATTCGAAGCAACAGAATGTATTTAAAAATCACTCACTCCTCTCTACCATCCGGATTTTACAGACAGACGACGACCAGGCGCGAGACCTTCCGGGTCCTTTCTCTGTGTCAGAGAGACGTACACGCGACGACGACGCCTTCTCCGGCGGAGAAAGGAGTGGGAAATGAGGGGCACGGATTACGGATTATAAAAAAGGGTATAGGGAGTAGGAGAACCAAAATATAGGTACCCCAGGAGAAAGAGAGAGAAAGCGGAGGGACACCTGGGTAGGGCCACAATGCCGGTTTCATTGCCGAATCGTAGAGATGGGTAAAGGTACAGGACTAAAAGCCGAAGTACCCAAGTAACTAGTACCTATCGTTTTTAGCTAAGCCTGTATTGGAAATATTTACAATACCATTTAACATTAAATAATGTTCAAACATATGATAATTTGTATATATTAAAGCCAGATGTTTACAGGAATCACAAAACTGTTTATTAAAATGGTTATCTCAAATGTTTAAGACTTTGACCAGTTAATACCTATTCATTGATCGTAACACTCGTTAAATATATCATATTTCAAGCATTTATTACTATCTAAACACCTGATGTACCTTCGAATTACTTATAATATATAAAAAACCAGATGGTTTAAGAGCACATTTTAAAGGCCATTTAATGATAATAAAGTACTTTCTCTTATAGTTTTCATTTTTAATAAATTCCCAGGGAAAAACTTATACCCTAAATAACTAATTAGGTACAACAGAGACCGATTTATAGATAGCATCACTGGTTATAAATGGCAAATAAATAGAGGAGTAATTATTATTGCACGGCCATATTTTCTAATGCCATTTCACTCCTATAAATAGCTGCGTGTGCGGCGCTGATAAACCCGCCCCAAAAATCGGATTGGAAAGGAATGCACCTGCCTCTATAGAGGAGCAAAAACAGCACCCAAAACGCTTGTCTTGGCGCTAACGAGAGCATAAACTTGATGAGCTTAGAGAGGAGGGTATGGTGAGCAGATTGGATTGCTTCTTCGGCTTGGCTGCACCGCGAAGATTGCATGTTGCAAATTGCCGCATTAGTGACTGCACTTGAAGTCGTCGTACTACCCGAAACCGAGCAGAGATGTGGAAGTTATAGCCGGCTTGGTTTAATTGGAGCCGCAGCGCCGCGCACCGGTACGCAGATATTTTCGCGGAATGACGTAGACCCCCCTCGGGAGAACGGCTTGAAGGTGCAAATGAAGGGCCCATTGTTCGCATTGATTTTCTTCTGCCTAATATTTAACCTACATTTTATGGGGCTCGCGACGCCGCCACCGTAGCTTAAATTTCGGTGACACACTTTGGGCCCACACAGGAAGTGACTTGGCCCGGAGACCGGCGTGTTGTGGCCATGACGCGTGCCGCAGAGTGTTGGCCCTGGTAATTCCGTAATTCGCGAATCCGCTAACAGGCTCACTTCTTCTTCAAAAAAACACTTTGCCGCATTACACGCAGCTTTTCCTGCATCTCATTACGTCTTGGTCACACTCGAATAACGGTGCTTAATTAGTCCTGTCCCAGGCAAGGCCACACTCGCAGGATTTTAAAGTTGAGAAACACTTTAAACTTCTTAATATTATATAAGTTACTTTTGTTTTTTTTATATTCAATTCCCCCCGTTAAAATGTGTAAGTAATTGGCGAAAAGCCGCAAAACAACAAAAAATATATAAATAAATGGGAAACGCGGAGCGGGAATAGAACGCGGCCGCTGCCTAACTTAAACTGATGGCAAGTGAGCAAAGGAGGGCCTTCAAAAGAAATATTGCCTACACTTCACACACTCCATAACACACACCTAACACACACGCAGAGCCGCCGAGATATGGAGAGACTGGCGAACACCGAAAGCCGAGCTGGGCAAATTCGCCGCGGGTTTTCCACTTGCCGCCACTTTCCGCAACTTTTCCGCTTTTCGCCGTTTTCGCGAGGCGGCTGCATTAGTTGTTTGCATGTTTTGTTTTTCTCATCTGCTCGGCTTTTCTTTTGCCTTCTTCTTCAGCTTAGACAACTTTTGATTATTTCCCCCCGAACAGCCAGGCTGGCTGGCTGTGACACCTGTTGGTATGTCTCTGGCACGCGATGTGCCACACACTTAACACACAAACACACACACACATCACTTGGCTTGGATTGGCCAAGGCTTTCGCTAATTTTTCATATTTTTTGTCGGGATGCCCATGCCCCCGATAGATACATGGTTCGATGAAAGTGATCACACGCATGGGTATCAAGCACGCACTTCGCTGCGGCTCATTTCACTTGAAAGGCTTTGCTTTTACACACTTAATGAAGAATGCCACAGTGGCAGCTCCCTATATAAGCCCACAAATTGTCTACAAATGTGTCCGAGATATTTTTAACGATTTAATATGGCTATCATTTGGGTACCGAAAAGAGTTCTAGGAAGTGTTTGGATTGGATTTTGTGAATTAAAACTGAATTTAACATAAGACATCTTAGTAAACCCTTTAATACTTTTAAAATATACCCCTGATATCTCTAACACATTAAAGAATTTTTTCAAAAAATTATAAAGGGTTACATCTTTAAATTTTTCAAAATTTGTACCATTTTGTAATTTAATATTTAGTATGCAGATTTATTAACCCAATAAAAACTAACATAAGAAAGCTTTCCGAATCCCAACTAATGTATTTTTGGCAAGGTTAAGATATTGGAAAAACTTTAATTTTTCCAAAAAATTTGCATATAAAAAAACGATTGATTCAAGGAATACGATTTTTTTTAACTTTGCTATGATCAAATTGCGGGCTAAATCTGGTATTAAATAATAAACTGCTCCACAAGATCACAATTCTTGTAAACCAATTTTAAATAATATTTCCTCTAAGAATATCTCTTGTTTCTGCAAACAAAACCCAAACTACCCATTCAAGACATAATGTATGCACGCCAGGCCAGACCGAGTACACTGCACTTTTTCCTTGGCTTTGGGAATAGGGTCAAAACCGCAACAAATTCCGCTTTTGCCTTGTGCAGGGCCCAAGAGTCAACAACACTTGGTTGGGCCCCCAAGGAGGTGGCTACTTGGCTTCAGCTCCAGCTCTTGCTTCTGCCTAGCCACCTGGGGCACTGTTGCAACATCAGGCAGGACATGGACATAGACAGGTATGTGTGTGCACAACACTCTAGCCCTGAGGGGGGGGTCGACTTTTAAGTGGCAGTGCCGGAGAAATATCCTTGGCTAATGTCGTGATAGAGCGCCGCACCACCCCACAGTCCAGCAAAAAGTGGAGTCACGGAGTAGTCACAAATTCAGGGGAATTCCTAGAGACATCTATGAGTTAATTGTTTTCAGGTTTTCTATTTTTTGCTTCACTGAATTTGTTTCTAGTTTTGAACGGGGCTTTCTTCGTTGATTTAGTTCCGTTTTCGAGGCACATAAATTTGAAAACTTTGTGTTACTTGTAGCGTTTTATTTTGTTTTAAATTACAAAAAAAAAAACTTTTAAACTTTTGGTTACGCCGTTACCCGAATTCAACGCGCATTTGCATCGATCCGATGCACTGCACTCGCCGTTCGTTGAAAAACTAATCCGCCGCGGACAAATACCTTCTTATACATCGTCCTGCGCTGTGGCACAACTCCTTGGCGGCTGACCACCGCTCGGCAGGATACCCAGAGGCGGACGACGAAGGAGTCGCCGAAGGACCGAAGTTGAAGTCGAAGTCGCTACGGGTATACTACGTGGGTCAGTAAACCTACTTCCGGTTGACATAAATACGCCTTGGACATGAAAACTTTGGCACTGGCGGCGCGCCGCAAGTTGTTTTTATTGTTTCAAACTTTGTGTTTTTTTCTTTTCCCTTTATTTTTTGGTTTTTTGCCATGACTCAAGACAGGTGGACAGCGGACAGCGAAGTCCAAGAATCCGTGCAGTGCAGGTGTGTGCGGAGATCGGATTTTTCATTCGGGGAATTCGATTTGCTTGGCCAAAATCTTCTGGAGATGCTTTTACTTGGCTAGTTAGGCAATTTGATCGAGCTGCACCCTTTTACACTTGAACCAATACTTGGTATTTATGTATAAGAAAGCAGGCTTAAGAATGCTTAAGATATTCGCAACCTTTGAATAAATATTTATGGATATTTTTATATGACAATTTGCTCGACAAATCAAAGTTTAAAAAACTCATAACTAAGCCAAAACAGCATTAATTTTAATTCGGAAAGCTGTCTAATATTAGTTTTTATAAGGTTAAGAAAACTGCATAGCCATCTAAACATTTAGAATTATTCAATTTTGACAATTTTAACGATGTAACCCCTTATAAAAAATTCAAAATTTGGAAAAAATTAAATTCTTGCCGGACTAGATCGATTTGGCTATCAGGGATATATATGATTTATAGAGTCGGAAATGACTCCTTCACAGTGTTTTAAGCCTCTGACTAAAATTACAATACCATGAAAGGGTAGAAAATTAGTTCTGGTTTTCTATTTAAAAATATAAAATATATTATCGACATATAACAAAATAACCCATAATCCTTTCGAAATTCCCATTCATTTTCCCCAGTGCACTGCAATCAAATCTTGGGCTTGGCTAATCTCATACAAGTCCCTCTCTGACCCAAATCAATTATGCCAAACCCATGCAAATTCATATAATTTCCGAACTGCACCTTTGCTCACCTTTTTTTCGGGAGCGGCGAGTAATTTCACCTGCAAGAAGATTTTCCCACGCGATATTAGCGTTTGACCAGCCAGGTAGCTCCTCTTCTTTGTCATATTTTTGGCGAGTCCTTCGAGGGGAAGAGTCCATCAGAGTTTGACCCACATCGGGGGCCTCAAATTAATATCAATTGTGGCAGGATTGCGTGTGCGAATATGTAGCAAGAGGTACGGAGTACGAATGCCCGAGGAACGGCGGGGATTGAAAGGCATTTATTTTGTAATTGACTGTGACCAAGGGGATTGCACAATGACTAAGCTAAGCTGAGGTACTGGTGTGCTCCCTAAGCGAAATTAAGTAATAATTATTATGATGTGTATACGCTTATAAATAGCTAAGCACGGCAAATAAAGGTCACACTTAGGCAGGATCCTACGCTTGGTCCCGATTTCTTGACCTCCTTGCGGACCTGGCTAAATGGGCTACTACTTAATAGTTTTGTATATATTAAAGAGGGAAACCCCAAAAACAAGACTCTGTATACAATTGAGTCATTAGTTGGGTTTTATACTCCTAGGATATAGTATAGTTAGGGAATTCACTTTGGTGGAACCTGAAGTTTTCACTAGGTCCAATCTTTATAAAGAATGTTTCTTTTCAGGGTTCATTTTGTATGTTAATTTTGTGGGGCTTACTTTGCATTTACGTATTTGTATATGCAAAGTTATTTTGTGTTTTCCATATCTTAAGTTCTTATAAGTAACGTTTGATTTTCCATAAAAAATTTACATACATATGCAAGAAGATGTTGCTTACTCCCGGGTTTAATTCAAAGTTCATTTCTGAGATTCAATTTGAAATTATATATACAATATTTACATATCATTTTAAATACCAAAAGAACTGCTAATTTAATAGGCATCTAATTACTTAACATCCAAAAATCCTTCAGTTTCCTGTTGCTGCTGCCTCATTTCGTATTTCTTCAAAACAGCTATATTCAGCTCAATGACATGCACCTGATCCTCCAGGTAGTCAATGTCGTGCTCGATCTGCAACCGCTGTTGCTGTAGTCTGGTAATTTCTTTCCTGAGAAACTTAATTGCCTCCGGGAGAGTGAATTCCATCTGGAGAGTACTTGAGTTCGTTTGGAGGATCACCTTCTCCACTGGCGGTATGGTTACCGATCTGAAAACTCCATAGGTTATGTGCATCAGGTTTTGATGCTCCTCGTCGGGTTTGCGTAGGAACTCGTCAGCCAGCTTATAGTTGGCTTTGGCATCCTCCAGGCGCATGACTATCATAGTTTTCCGCTCTTCCAGCTTCCAAGCCTGTACACTATATTTCCTGTGGAACGTGTTCTGCAGGTTGAGGGCCGTTTGCACATCCGAGTTGAATTCGATCTGATCGATATAGGTTGCAACATTGCCAATGTATTCGGCTTGAACGATGGGAGTAAAGGATTTCTGGTTGCCAAGGGGCGGCATCTCTATGTCCTCAATAAAGGCAAACATTGTCGGGAATTTGGAATATTTAAAATTTTATAGGAATGTCCAGAATCTATAGTCTGAAAGCTTTCACTTCGGGAAAACTATGTCGATTTGATCAAATCGAAATTTCACAGAAATCAGCAGAAGAAAACTGAATTGAAATTCTGTTGAAATATGCACTAATGCAACCAAGATTCTCAGCTTAAAATCAAGCTAGGTCTTTATTTTGCAAAAATTGTTATTCTTATACTAATTGTACAGTGTTAATGTAGCAATAATTTAATTTTTAAAAGCGCTTTCACATAGATCCTAATCAAATATTGTCATAGTCTTCGTCTAATTCGAAAATGGTTTCAGTGGGTGTCGCTGATGGTGCCGCAGTGGCCTTTGGAATGATGGGAGCGCTGCTCTTTCCAGCCATTTGGTTCACATTGTTGTTTTCCGCTTGCGCGAAGCCAATTGATGTCGGCCTGCTGCTCGCCGCTCCGGCTCCAGCGGCCACGATATTCGTTAGATCTATATTGATAACCGGTGCAGCGATATCAAAGTTGAAGGCGGCGCTGGAGTCCGAGGCTGGTGCGGAAACAGCAGCCTCCGGGGTGCAGAGGCTCCGCATCTGCACGTTACTGTAGTCGATCTTGACGATGGGCTTGTTCAGCTCGTAGCTGCAGATCGGGGGAGGTATGGCATTGTCGAGCTGCACCGGCTGCTTCTTGTGGTGCTGCGAGTGGGAATTGGGTGGTCGGCCTCGTTGACCCGGTGTGTAGGCGGGCGTCGACTCCGAGCGGGCCAGCTTGGCGGGCAGGGTGTGGGTTGGATTTAGGTGGGGAGGATGCTGCTGCTGCTGGCGCTTGGTGCCTGCGCCACCGCCACCGTTCAGGCTCATGGAGCGCATGTAGGCAGCGGTGGCCGCAGTGCCATTGTTGGGCTGCGAGCGCATGGAGGTCGATGGCAGGCTAAGATCGTATGGCGTGTCTGAATCAGGATATTGATCCTCCGGCGAGCTGCGCAGCATATCGTCCTCGTTGTAGGCGGCCTCCTCGGCCACACTGATGTCGGGTATGTTGCGCACCAGCTCCTTGAGGAAGTCGAACCGCTTCTCAGACACGATGCACTGCCGCATGTGCGACGGCGATAGCGTCTTGGCGTTGCGCGAGTTCGTGATTCGCAGCGTCTTCGTCAGCAGCGACTCTACGAACAGCTCCAGCGTGCGCGAGATGATAACGGGCACCGCCTGCGCCACTTTGCCGATCTCCTCGTCGCTCTGCATGATCTTCTTGATGCGGCCCTGCAAAAGGGGATAGAGGAGGAGGAGGGACACAATCACACCCGGTTCTTAGGTTCTGCGGCTCTTCGAGCCCCTGATTATGCCCGTATGCATGTGTACATACACGCAAACACACACAGGGGCACGCACAAAAACTGATAACCCATCTGCGGCTGCCGCGGCGAGGGAGCGACACACGCTTGGCGTTCCGCCGACTTCCTGCTGCTTGCCGGGATTCCTACTTACCGCCGGGAAGCGCGCGTTATATTTTTTCTTCTTCGACGGCATGGCGCTGTTTGTGAAGTAATCCTAGCGAAATAAAACAATTGCCTGTGTGTGTGTTTTTCACACAAGAACAGTTCCTGCAATGTTTGTGCGCGTGGGTGAATGGCAGCTGTGCACACAGTAGGCGGCGGCATTCACAGGGAACCTCACAAATTTGAAAATATTATTAGAAATTTAACAAATTTGGTTTAATTCGGTAATATTTGAATTCTGTTGGTTGTTATTTGATTATTTGGGTTTTACTTGCTTTTGTTCAATATTTAAAATACTACAAGGGGTTGTGGCTAGTTCTTTGCGCAATCTGGCAGTCTGGTTCTTAGCATTGTCTGGCAACGTTGTTTCGCTTTACTGTGACTGAAAAAAAGAAGAAGAAGAACTCCGGATGAGCTGCCTGTGTTTTTAACATTTAACAATTGCTTAAAAATTAATGAAACAGGGCTATAATTTTCATGTCTGACACGCGCAAGGATCGTTGCAAACCATACGCCTGTCGCATACAAGATTGCTTGAGCAGTAAGTAATCGCAATGAGCGTATTTTTCTCAGTTATGTAAGCGGCTCATCCGGCGAACTAATGATTTTAGAGAATAACTACCAGGAAGATAAATGCCTGGATGTCCTAGAGGATATGCGCCAGTGCTGTCTAAAGTGGCATAAGGTATCAGTCTGCTGCAGTGGAATCGATCTGGAGAAGAGCTATTTGCCAGAAGAAAAGAAACCATCCGCCAAGTCGTGAGTTTGATAGAGTTCCTTCTGGGCCAGGGTTCACTGTAAATTCTCCTCTTTTGGCAGAAAAAAATAATGTCCGCACCGCAGTACAAGCCACCAAAAGAAATTCAAGACTTGTTAGACAAAAAGCAACAACAGCAACAGGCTAATAATCAACGCCGGCGCACAGCCGTACTCCCCAAACGCTCGTGGATCCAGCGAAATCCACGCCTTTTCCAGATCACCTTCCTCACCGGCTCCCTGCTGGTATTCTTCTCCAAGCCCCTGTACGACTGCTTCATAGCCGATCCTCTGCCGCCGCTGGAGGTTAAGGTACCGCCGCACAAGCGCTGAGCGGCATGGAATCTGTGCGCAAGGCCAATCAACGTCTGCGAAACTACCCGCTCCTGCTAACCAAGTGCGCGGACAAGGCCACAGCGTATGCGGTGTGCGTATCGCGGGATCTGAACGTCCAGCACAAGATCTGCGACGCCGAGTTCAAAGAGTTCCTTGCCTGCATTCGCAAGAGCGCCCAGGAGATGAAGACCAAGCTGTAAGCAATCAATTAATAAAACTTAGAAAATGACACAGACGAAGACAGCGAATGCAACGGGCTTGCAGCGACTAAGTCGCCGCGTCCTGCAGACCAGTTTTCGCATCCACATCCTGATCTCGGCGATGGTGCGCATCGCTCTGATTTGCTACGGACAAATACACGATAGCCGGTCCGCCGTGCCGTACACAGACATCGACTACAAAGTGGTCACAGACGGGGCGCGGCAGGTGCTGGCCGGGGAGACGCCCTTCGCCAGGCACACCTACCGCTACAGTCCGATAATGGCGTACCTGCAGACCCTCAACATCCTGATCCATCCCGTCTGGGGCAAGCTGTTGTATGCCACATTTGATCTGTTAATAGCCACGCTCATCTATCGCTTGGTGCATATGGAGATCAAGAGTCAATACCAAAAAACCGTGCAGCATCTGCTCAGCAAGTTCAATCGGCCGCAGGAGTCAGATCAGTCGTTGGACGCCTTGGACGAGCGCAGTCACCCTGAGAACCTGGCCCGTGCCTCCGCCTGCTTCTGGCTGTACAATCCGCTCACCGCTGTGATATCTACGCGTGGCAGTGGTGACTGCTTCTCGAGCTTCTTCGTGATCCTGACCATTTATCTGCTGATGAAGGCAGAGCACAAGGGCTCCCATAGCCACTGGCTCATCTTTGGCGCTGGCCTGGCCCACGGACTGGTGATCCATCTCCGGCTGTATCCGCTGCTCTTCAGTCTGGCCTACTATCTGTCGCTGTCCACGCGTCTCACACAAACTCCCTGGGATTTCCTTGGCCAAGTCTTCCGTCCCAACAGGCAACAGCTGTGCCTGGTCATCGGAACACTGGTCAGCCTGATCGCCTTCACCTGGACGTTCTACAGGATGTACGGCTGGGAGTACATCTATGAAGCCTACTTGTATCACTTTGTGCGCAAGGATCCGCGCCACAACTTCTCGCTGCAATTCCTGCTGCAATATCTGGGCAGCGCCACGAGTGTGGTGGAGCCCTCGATTATCGTGAAGCTTCTGGTGATGGCGCCGCAGTTCCTGCTCATCCTATACTTGAGCCTGAGCTTCGGCCAGTTTCGTCAAACGCTGCCGTTCTGCATCTTCGCCGTGGCGTTCGTGGTCGTCACCTACAACTCGGTGGTGACGTCGCAGTACTTCATATGGTACTTGGCCATCCTACCGCTGTGCCTCAACAACTTCAAGCTGCTGTCGTGGCGCCGGTGCTTCGGCCTGCTAATTCTCTGGCTGCTCGCCCAAGGGCTGTGGCTTCTGCCCGCCTATCTGCTGGAGTTCCGTACGTGGAACACCTTCTACTGGATCGGAATGCAGGGTGCCGTGTTTTTCGCCGCAAACGGGTACATTCTGGAGCAGCTGCTGAGTCATTACGGGTTTACCCAGTTCAAGATAAGCTACAGAAAGTTACTTTAATCACAGAAAGCGGTTTAAAACAGTGAAACTAATACAATGTTTGTGTAAGCGTAATTTTAAATCTAAAGCTTTTACTTTTAGCTCTTCTCTAAGCTCATAAATTTCATGAAGTTGAGCAACCTGTCAATCTCCTCATTCCGCATCGCATACATTCTGTTGGAGATGCTCCAAACATCTCTGTATGCGATCATGTCCGTCTCGAAAACATTACGCTGCTTGTTCCACTGGACGTCGGTGAACTCCTTCTGGACACGGCGGTAAAGGGCTCGCGCACAGGGACACTCAATGGTGATGTTATTCACGTACTTGTACTCCTCGCGCTTCTCGTAGAGCTGTCTGATGTGGTCATAGTCCTTGCCCAGCTCCTTCTCGTTTGATAGGAACATGTGATAGACGCGCTTCCTACTGGCCGGCTTTTCGAGGCAGAGAAAACACACACTCTGTGTGTAGTCTGACGCGTTTACCTTTGGCGCGCTTGCAGGTGGAACATCAGTCTTCAGCAGTATCCTGCTTAGAATCACCGGAAATGTTGTGGGATTGATTTTGGGAGCCTCTGGAGCCGGAGCTGCCTTCTTTTTGCCTCTTTTACGGGGAGCATCCGGATCGGGCTTCACTCTTCCGGAAATATTTAGCACCGGTGCCTCTGGCTTAGGGGAGGTGGTAGATGGTGCTGCTGGCAAGTAATCCTGCTCAACGGCTTCCATTTTGGGATCTGTGTTGCTTTGGAGGATTTTTTACTCTGTTGTCTTTGGCAGTACTGACATTCGCTGAGCTGAAGACAGCGTTTTAAATGGTCGGATTGTTTTGTATCAACACGAAATGGCTAAATTTCACAACAAAGTTTGGAGCAAAAGCTTAAAATTAGGGATGATAGGTTGGCGACGATGGTGAATGACAAAAAGCATATGTTTTTGTTAGGTCAGCCAGAAGTAAACAACTTAGCTTAGGATGGACTTGTTAAGATCGAATACAAGTATAAATGTAATATTTATTTTGCTTTCAAGACATTTAGGTTTTATTTTATCATACTATCTATTCGTGGCACTCATAAACTTAATATAATTGAAAAGCTTTTCCAATTCCTCGTAGTGCAACTTGTATATTCTCTCCGAAAGATTCCAAACATCTCTTTCTCCAACCCAATCAGTCTCGAAAATAGTTTTCTGCTTGTTCCAAGTCACATCGGTCAACTTATTTTGAACTCTGTGGCATAGGGATCGGGCACAGAGTGATTCCTGATACATACGATCAACAATTTTTAGGTCTTTTCTATTCTCGTACATTTTTCGAATACGTTCCTTTTCCATGTCCTTTTCGTTTGAGAGGTACATGTGGTACACCCGCTTCCTACTGGACGGTTTTTCCATGCACAGAAAGCACAGATATTGGTCAAAGTCTAAAGGATTACTTTTAGGAACTGCTTCTGGTGGAACGTCTGTTTTGAAAAGGATTCTACTAGTAATCACTGGAAATGTCGTTGGACTGACTTGTGGTGCCAACGGAGTAACAGGCTTCGGTTGAGGAGCTGCATCCTTTCTTTCCCCTCTTACTTGGGGAGTGCTTCGTTTTGGTTCCATATTTCCGGATATATTAAGTACTGGTGAATCGGATGGCACAGGGCTAGGATTATTAGGCTCCTCAATGTTAGCTTCCATAACTCTTTCTTCTAATGTTTGACTTTCTACTGAAACGTCTGTTTAAATACTAAATTTCCCAAAGGTCTAATCAAAAGCTCCACATTAGTCATAGGGTTTTTGTTTACAATTGTATTGTATTGTATTGTATTGAATGGTAAAAAATGTTAATATATTATAGATTTTTACATTATTTATTTATTTAATATTTTTTTTTATTTAACACTTATCAAATTATCCCTTCGTTACGCTCAGATACTTTATGTAGTTGAAAAGTAATTCATGTTCGTCGTCGCTTTTCGCATTTAGTTTTCTAGATATTGCCCACATATCGGTTTCTGTATTCATATCGACCTCGAAAACATTTCCGTGCCTGTTCCAAATAGCCTCCGGAAACATTTTCTGAACCCTACGATATAGGGTTCTTGCACAGAGTGCGTGTTGCTCTAAGTAGTTAACTATCCGTACGTCCTTTCTATTATCGTACATTTTGCATACTACATCGTAGTCCTTTTGGCTATCCTTTTGGGTGGTCAGGAACATATGATAGACCCGCTTTCGAGTAGCGGGCTTTTCGATACACAGCAAAATCAGGATTTGGGTGTAAATTTGATCGGTCTTCGGAGCACGTGGAATGCTGCTTTTTAGCATTATTTTACTCAGAATGGAAGGAAAAGTGTCATGGTTTATTTTATCCATGGTTTAAGCAAGAGTTCTTCACTAGTATGTTGTTCCTTTCAGACAGCTCTTCAAATACTAAACAGTGAGTGAACGGGTTGCTTGGTATATAATTGTATTTAATTTCACAAAGTCTTTAAACCAAAAGCTCACGTAATTATTTGGATTAGGGTTTCCCTTATAGTCTTTATTTGTTTATTTTTTGAAACGCTTATACAATGTAAATGTAAAGTACGATAAATCACCATTTTATATTAGCTTAGAAGTGTACTACTTTTTAATATAGTTCTCATTCAGATAACGTAAATATTGATAGACTTCCATTTGTTCCTCTTTTAAGGCCTCCGAAACAATTTGTTGTATATTTACCATTGAATTTTTGCGGTACTGAATTACGATTTCACTAACCCAGTGTTCTTTGTTGATTCGATCCTTTACGCGTGGGATAACTCCTTTCGGATCAAACGAAGGTCCGCTTATGATGACTCCTGTTTTAAAATTGTCAGGTCCGAACTCGTAATACTGTTTGCCATTTCTCATTATCTCGGTGGCGGCGAATCTTTCTATGGAATTTTCATCAAGTTTTGGTGGTTTAGCTCCATTTAGAAGTAGTTTTTGCATGTGTTTCTCAAAATCAAACTCTAAATATGCTTTTGGATTACTGGTTTTGGGAGGTTTATCTGATGTTTCAGTGGTCTCAGTCGCAATAGCCAAAACTCTCGAATTTGATGTCATGGTGGGTTCTGAAAAATACATTGATTAGTGAATAAGTTTGAAATAAAACTTGTTCAGCTTACCCGAGTGACTGTCTTTGGTTGTTTAGCTACAGATGTATTTGTGTGGATTTATTTATTTACAAATGAAATAATTTTAAGCTCACTCCAAAAGCCCAATATTAGTGATGGGACTTTATTGTTGACAACTTGGGGTGAATGGTATTTAACAGCTGTTTTTCAATTAGGATGGACTTTATAAAATATTATTGTTACATTAGTAATTCAGTAATGAAATAGTCCACCAGAAAGCTCATACTGAAAGCACAAAGTTGGTGATGAGGTTCTTTGTTTACAAATAATGGTGAATGGCAATACAATAAAAATAATGTATTGTATCTTATGAATAAATGTACATTTCACTTATTTGTTGAATTTAGATAGCACAAGTATTGATAGATTTCCTCTCCCTCCTCGTCAGCAGCTTTGGAAACAGTTTGCACTATAAAGTCTTTTGATTCCTTGCTGAATCTTGCCACATTATCAGTAAGCCAGTGCTCCTTACTGATTTTATTATGAACACGCCTTAGAAATCCTTTGGGCTCAAACGTTAATACATCTACGAACCATCCTTGCTTACCAACACCAAAATCGTAATAGTGTTGACCATCTTTCTTTTTAATTCATTTGCTGAAAACCTTTGTAGCAAGGTATCATCAGGTTCTTTTGCCAGCGGTTTTTCACCATTTAGTAGAATTTTCTGCATGCGTTTCTCAAAATCAGATTCGAAAAAGGCTTTTCTGTTCTTGGAGATCGTGACTTCGTCTAGAGTCGCATTGGTTTCAGTTCCAATAGTTAAAACGTTCGAACTAGATGTCATTCTGGAATATGGGTAATTTTTTAAGAATTTTTCTTTTAAATATTTTTTTTTAACTTACTTGGTCTATGAGCAGTAACGTGCGAAGTCTTCGAGTTTGGTTTATTTATGTACTCAATCAACGCCAAAGCTGCAAAGTCAAAAGCTCAAAACAAACTTATATATTAGGAATGGGATCTATTCCGATAGCTGGGTAATTTTATTTCAACAGCTGATTTCATAGCTACCAATACCCCACTTGGTATTATAATTGTAGTCAGAAACTTGTAAAAGTATGAAGGAGTCATTTCCGACCCTTTAAATCATATATATTGTTGATCATCACGATCAGACGAATCTTTTTAGCTATCTCCGGCAGAAAATAATTTCGGTACATTTGTCTATTAGGGTGAACCATTAAATTAATCATAACTAAGCCAGAACAGCATTAATTTCAATTTGGAAAACACTTAAATATTACTTTTGTTTTTTCTTATTTTCCACAATTTTAACGATAATAATATGCCTATAATTTGTATAATTTCGTAAGGTCTAGCACCTTTCGATTTATATACTGAAATTATAAAACCCTTCCGGTAAGATACAACTTTCCCTGTAAATCTTTACTTGTTATTTGGCCTTGTTGCCCCATTGAGAGGTCATTTATTAGTTTATCTGCTACGCAAGCCCCTTGTCAGAGCTGTTCGCACCTTATCAACCGTCTGTCAATGCACTCGCAACATTAAGTCTATTTAATTTGGGAACTTTGGAAACAACAAACAAGGCCTCACATCGCTCTCTGATCCAAATTAGCAGATAAAACCCGTTGGGCATCGGTGATTTTTTATTTATTTTTGACGTTTTGGGGGGAGAATTAGTACGAGGCATTAGGAAGCGTGCTAGATAGGTGAGATAGTATTGTCAGGGGGTTTTTCTGGGCCAGCACCATTTCTCCATACATCTATCAGGTGTATTTATTATACACCTGGTAGTTAGTTCCTACAGGTTTTGTAATTGAGGCGTATCTGGTACTACGATTCAGCTGATATAACATATGTCGATTTGTACTTAATAAGGCATTTATTATTACTTTTTTTTTTGCAATTTCGACTTTGGTTGGTGTCGAGATAGCTGCTGAAAAGTCCCCGTTTACTGCCCTAAAATTGCGATCTAGCAAATAAATCATTTTATAATAATAATAATAATTATAATTGATTTGTCAACAAAAATGCAGCCAGAAAATAAATAGCGTAAAACGTTTACGCAACTGGGCAGCTGTTAGTGAGTGCAACCCATTTTATTTATACCTTTATAGGCTATGTAGCTCCGGTGCTTTCCCTCAATTGGCACAAATGTTTACATTCCCAGTTCTCCAGTGTGTGTTTATTCAAATGGCGCGATCTTGATCTGTATATAGTGCCCGGCGGTTCCGCTTGCCACCGATCTTGGCAACCGACTGAAAACGAAAACCCAACCTGAATCTGAACCTGAACCTGAGGCTGAGGCTGAAGCTGAACTTGAAACGAACGCTGGAGAGCTGGAGAAGCGACTCGAAATGGGAAGCTTTTTTGGAGCGTGAATTGTGCAAATTGCAAACAAATTGAATTGTTTATGTTTTTGCTTGTAAACAAAACCCGAGTCGCGAGGAAACGATTTCTCGGTCTTGTATAAGTAGTATCACCTAGCAACCGGGCTTCAAGTATCTATTAGCTATTCTACATAAAAGAGAGTACTTCTGGTATGGAAAACTTTATCGTCTTATCGGCGGAGGGTTATTACCCTCTTTTTTTTTGTTGGGAGGTTCTTCTAATTATGTGGCATTTTTTGCTTCACATTTACGACCCATATCAAGGGACTTAACAATAATGATAAGAGTAGAAGTTGGCCAAAAATCCCCACCGAATTTTGGCTGCACTTCGGTTGCTGATAACTAATATGGGTTACACCAAGAAAAATGCGATTGGAATACAGTTTAGATATTCTAAATTTCATAGTGTTTAAAAAAAATTAAATTAACTATAAAGGCATAAATATATAATGTATATTTAGGGGATATGGTTAAGATATTTCATTTGAATAAGGTTTTTTTTGTCTAATTTGTTTTTTCCTCACAGTGCATTGAGCGATAGTATTGAATTGTGAGGATGTTTGGCATTAAGATTAAGTTTACTATATTGATTGCTAGAGAAACACACAATAATATTAATTGAGTCGTAGTTTTTACCAAAATAAAAATCTAAATTATAACTAATACATTTAGAAGAAAAGTTTGATATGATTATGATGGGTAAGATATTATAAACTGTGATATATATTAATATTGTAATTGCTATTTAATGTTAGAGTTTCTGTTTCTCAGTGGAAAAAATTCAAGGATTTTCAGCTGTGAATGAGTATGGGCAGAGATAGCCAAACCCCTTACAATGGGCCACATCAACAGGTGGTGTCGCTTAGTCACACCAAATACCCAAAAACAAAAGACCCAAAACGACCTTATCAAAGGTGTCTCCCCTTGCAGGTGGCAGAGTGTCTCAAAATTCGATACTCTCATGCCTACGAGGTGATTTCCGTGCCGGCCCTCCGGCGAAATAAAAAAGCCCCGGCATAGAGCCGTTCGGCTGGTATAAAAGCGGCTCCCCAGGCGGCGATATCGTTCAATAGCCAAAGCACCAGCGTTCCCCAAACACACAGCAGCAGCAGACGCGATTTCAAAGCGAAAGCAAACCCGTAAAATACGTACTGATCCAGCAGGGAGTTCCCCCCAACGGAAGCACACACAATTGGATATTTTGACCTTAAACAGCAGCTGTGACAACCAACATATTGCTCATCACGCGACGAGTTCCCCCAGAGAAAGAGAGGGAGAGTTCAAAGCAGAGAGAGATAGATAGATAGCCCCATCATTAGAGCCGGAGAATGAGCTAACTGAAAAGCGAAGAAGAGACGGTGATTTTTGCGAGTGATTAGCAGCGGAAAGAAACAACATCAGACAGCAACAGCAACCACAGCGAAAGCTGAGGTAATTCACACACAAAAACATGGGCGTTCGTGTGATAGAGACCGATTCGGCCAGCGATTCGTACGACGATGACGACTGCTCCACATGCCAGATGGCGCAGGGTAAAGCCCCCCACAGCGGCAGCAATAAGACGAAGCGGAATACTCCGCCACCGGAAACCACCATCTACGCCAGCAAGGATCTGGTGGGCAACCACAAGGAGTATCGCATCGAGAACAACTCGCGGGATCTGCGCATCATTGGCAACGGCAACCGGATACGGATAGTCAGCAATTCCGGCAGCCTCCAGATCATTGGTAATGCCACCCGCCTGAAGATCCAGAACAACAGCGGATCGTTGAAGTACACCGGAAACGATGGACGCATCTACCTGGGCAGTGAGTCGCCACAGCAGGCCGTGGACTACACGGGCTGCAATGGTTTATTGAAGGTGGTCAGGTCCCTGGATCTGAGTGGCAATAAGAAGCAGAAGCCCAGCACAAGATCTCAGAAGGCCCAGAACAAGCCAAAGGCGGCTCCCACGGGCATTGAGATCGACAGCAATCTCACCATCGAGCACGGAGTATCCGGAAACATTGTGATCAAGAATGCCATTAATGTGAGCATTTAGAAACGGGCAAAGGCGGAGGAGGAGGAGGAGGACGAGGAGCTTGATCTCTAGTCAAAGACCAAAGATTAGTGTATCCATCCCAAAATCGTATTGCTGCAACTCTTGCCCAGTTCCTACCGACTGCAATTAGTCTTATCTGTGACTTTCGACTGCTACAACTAGAGTATTACCACAAACGCCACGTCGCTAGTCTAGAATATATATATATTCATCATGACCATTTTTAGCCTAAAATAATGATGTCCCCCGATTATGATTATGAGGGACTTATTTATAGCCACAACCAACGCACAAAGAACAAAATGCCAGAGCTTCATTCCGAGAATGAATACTAAACTATAGTAACCAAAAACAAAATATAAAGTATATATATATATATAATTAAAATACGTTGTAAAAACAAACTGTTTTTCTTTATAATGTATAGAAAATCCCCTGACTCCAAAGTACTTCACATTTTTCACTGGAGCTGTGTAAACTACCCAACCAACATTGCTTTTCCTTAGCATAACAAAGTGGGGCTCCATTATCTCATGCTTACTCGCTTTCCAGTCACAACTTCCGAGAATTGTCTTATTAATCATTGCGATTTCAATTCTGAGGCAATGTCATCTCCGAACTGACCAATGACCCATTTTCCACGGTCACAGTAAAAAATAAAACAAAAAAGTACCCAGCACTTATGTACGACTTTTTATCGTTGGACCGATTAATTAATTAAATTTCGCTTTTCAATGGGTTGACGAGGCCGGTGCCCTTGGTTACGGTTACTCTCCAGTGCCGAATATCAATTCTAGGGGATTTTTTGTTTGAGGTGACAGTGGAATACAAAAACTACACATATGTACATTACCGAAATTCGTCGTGGGCTACCTTTGCACTCAACTCGGACAGTGACAGGCAGGTGAGAAATCAACGGATGAGATGGTGACTCTCTTTACATTTTTAAAAGAGGTCCCAACTTCCCAACAACTGATGACTTAAATGATTAAAAAAGTCGTTTTTTATCGGGAGGCAGTTCTTCTTAAAGCCATTTAGGAATATTTATTTTTAATAGTTTTGAAGACTAAAATCATAAAAATATATCCGGAAATACACTACTAAATACCATTACTACTTTATATACTCCCAGCGTCATCAATCATTTGCAAAAATATAAGCCTAATTTAAGATGTATCTTGTAATGCATATTTGAAAGCTTTACCTAACAAAAATATTAAAAACTCAGAACTAAGCCAAAACAGTATTCATTAAATTCGGAAAGCGCTCGTATGTCAATTTTTAGCAGGTTACTAAAACTGCATACTCCTTTTAAAATGTTAATTTTTTGCCGATTTTTGGAAATTTTAATGTAACCCCTTTCCTTTTTTTTCCAAAAATGAGAAAATTTCTTTTTTTGCCCGGATATAGCTAAAAAGATTCGCCTGTTGATGCTGATCAAGAATATATATGGTTTATAGGGTCGGAAATGACTCCTTCACTGCGTTTTAATCTTCTGACTGAAGCTTTACTCTGCAAAAAGGTATAAAAACAGACAATTTTCTTAAATAATCGGAGTTTTCCGAACATCATAATTAAGCCAAAATAGCATTAATTTTGATTCGGAAAGCCTTTCTGTGCAGGTTTTTAAAGCACTAACAAATCTGCATACTGCGTTTGTTGATGCTGTTATAAGTTTTCGACTAAAATTATAATAACCTGCAAAAAGGTATAAAAACAGGCAATTTTTCCCAAAAATCATAGTTAAAAAAAACTCATAACTAAGCCAATAAATCATTAATTTAATTCGGAAAACTGTTCTAAGCTCGTTTTTAGTAGATTAACAATGCTGCATACTCAGTTTTCAAGCTCAAAGAAGCTGGGGTCGGAAAATTTTTTTTTTTTAAATTTGAAAGCTGGAATCGTTTGCCCATCGTTTGCCCATGTTTGCCCACCTTTTACTTTTTTTTGCCCACGTCCAGTTTTGAAAATATTCGACTTTGAAAATTTTCATCATTTTTCGAAAAACCAAAAGTTGACTTTTTTCAAAATTTTTTTTGGAAATCGCAATAACATCGTTTGCCCACGTTTGCCCACCCTTTAGAATTTTGAAAAAACTTCAAGTTTAGAAAATTTTCAAAATTGTACTAGGAAATTTGAATTTTAAAATTTTGAAAACTGGAATCGTTTGCCCATTCGTTGCCCATGTTTGCCCACCCTTTACTTTTTTTTGACCACGTCCAGTTTTGAAAATATTCAACTTTGAAAATTTTTCAAAATTATAACGTTTGCCCACCCTCTAAAACTAAATATTTTTAACAAAAAACGTTTGCCCACCTCTTAAAACTAAACAAAATCGTTTGCCCACCCTCTAAAATTAAATATTTTTAACAAAAAATGATTGCCCACCTCTTAAAACTAAATAAAATCGTTTGCCCACCCTTTAAAATTAAAAAATTTCGTTTGCCCACCCCTTAAAACTATGTTTTTTAAGAAAAAACGTTTGCCCACCTCTTAAAACTAAATAAAATCGTTTGCCCACCCTTTGAAATTAAAAAATATCGTTTGCCCACCCCTTAAAACTACGTTTTTTAAGAAAAAACGTTTGCCCACCTCTTAAAACTAAACAAAATCGTTTGCCCACCCTCTAAAATTAAATATTTTTATCAAAAAATGATTGCCCACCTCTTAAAACTAAATAAAATCGTTTGCCCACCCTTTAAAATTAAAAAATTTCGTTTGCCCACCCCTTAAAACTATGTTTTTTTAAGAAAAAACGTTTGCCCACCTCTTAAAACTAAATAAAATCGTTTGCCCACCCTCTAAAATTAAATATTTTTATCAAAAAATGATTGCCCACCTCTTAAAACTAAATAAAATCGTTTGCCCACCCTTTAAAATTAAAAAATTTCGTTTGCCCACCCCTTAAAACTATGTTTTTTTAAGAAAAAACGTTTGCCCACCTCTTAAAACTAAATAAAATCGTTTGCCCACCCTTTGAAATTAAAAAATATCGTTTGCCCACCCCTTAAAACTATGTTTTTTTTAAGAAAAAACGTTTGCCCACCTCTTAAAACTAAATAAAATCGTTTGCCCACCCTCTAAAATTAAATATTTTTATCAAAAAATGATTGCCCACCTCTTAAAACTAAATAAAATCGTTTGCCCACCCTTTAAAATTAAAAAATTTCGTTTGCCCACCCCTTAAAACTATGTTTTTTTAAGAAAAAACGTTTGCCCCTCTTAAAACTAAATAAAATCGTTTGCCCACCCTTTGAAATTAAAAAATATCGTTTGCCCACCCCTTAAAACTACGTTTTTTAAAGAAAAAACGTTGCCCACCTCTTAAAACTAAAAAAATCGTTTGCCCACCCTCTAAAATTAATATTTTTATCAAAAAATGATTGCCCACCTCTTAAAACTAAATAAAATCGTTTGCCCACCCTTTAAAATTAAAAAATTTCGTTTGCCCACCCCTTAAAACTATTTTTTTTAAGAAAAACGTTGCCCACCTCTTAAAACTAAAAAAATCGTTTGCCCACCCTCTAAAATTAAATATTTTATCAAAAAATGATTGCCCACCTCTTAAAACTAAATAAAATCGTTTGCCCACCC